TCTCCATCTCCTGCCTACCCTGTGCCTCTCTCCCTGAACCCCTGACACATAATTTCATGAAATGGTAATTCACTTTTACTAGCAAACCGGAGGTGAAACTAACCCCTTTCTAGCCCTGTGGGGAGGGTTCATGTGACATGCTTGCACACTGCAGCTGATGCACTATTGTGTCACGACACACAAGTTTGGAAAGCTCTGTTGTACTGGCTGGTTTGCATATGGAGATGTCTGCTGACAAAATACCCAACATCTGAAATAGCCACATCATAGTTGGAGTGGTGAAGGAAGTACTCCCTTTTCTAGATGTTTTATTGCAATATATTCCATATTTTAAGAAGTATGTGTGTGTAAGAGTTTTATTATCCACACTTTGGGACAAGTCTTGAATGGAAAGCTTGCCAAGTGAACTCAGAAATGAGTAAACATCTAAGTGCGTACTTTCTGGGAAGTATGTCCTTTCTGTAAATAAAAAATGTGAAGGATTTCCAGACCAATCTACGATTTCTTCCCACTGAAGACTCTTAAACTGCAAACTTGGGAACATTATGACTTGGTGCTTCTAAATATGCGAATTGACTGGTAGGGTGTAAAGAGGCTTGTTGTGAAGGAAAAATCAAACAAAATTCATTTCTAAGCTGCACAAGTATTTTCTTGGCATTGCTCAAAGGCGGCCTGTGGTTTAGAAAGGTCTGTGGTGCACATTGCCGTAGTACACTTGCTGACTAATGCCCTTTTAACAAAATATAGATCTGCTTCCTTGGGGGGGGGGGGAATCAGAAGAAATATAAGAAGGTGATTGGTCACTAATCTGACACAGGGATTTACTTCAAAAGGAATCATTAACAATCACTTGTGATAGGGCTTATATTTTACAAATCAGTGTCTCAGAAACAAACAGTTGTTTAGCTCCCAGAGTATGGAAAGACACCATTAATCATGTAGCTTTTCTCACAAGTTCTCTCACAACGCAAAGACAGAAAAAGATTGATCCAATCCATGCTCAAATATCACTTCAAATTTACTGGTATTCAGCTACATAAGGAAAACCCTCCAGTATAATTACATTTTGTTTTCAGCCTTATGACTTTTGGGACAAAGTTAATTAGAAGAAGGTCCTTTTAGGATGCAACCATATTAAATCAGAGAGTGACTTGAGAAAGGTCAGATATAATACTGCTCACAACTTCTATATCAATATTTTTATCTTTAGCATTCAACTGTACATACACATAGACACAAAACGCTTTCATATTTAAGGAAGCAAAAAGACCAACTACCTTCTCTCCATCCTCCATCTGGCTGTTCTGATTAGTTAGACTGACTATTGGGCCAAGCTGAGTATCACAAAGAAAACTAAAATCCACATTTTAGTTTTAGGAGGAGATCATTCACCAGCTTTACAGTCCTTTGATATTTCATTCCAAGTTGGCTGACTCTATTTGCAAGACGAGTTAGAAGACCAGTAACTTCTGGGATTTCACTGCCTGCAACTACAAACTGAAAAGGGAGAAAAAACAACAGAATTGAGAAAGTAGAAATGCTAGTATTTAGTAGAAAATTACACTGTAGAAGACAAAGAAAAAACAACCAGGGAAACCATCCCAATCTACAGCACGAAGAGAAAAAGCTCTTTGGGTTTTACAACAGAACAGAACAGTCTTCAAGCTGCACACAGACAGGCAGAAAAGTGACTAGGGAAGTCATCCCCAGTGCTTCTCTAACTTCCACACATAACTTGGGAGAAAAGCCCATTGTAGCATTGCAGGCACCATCACCTCGCTACCTTCAGCAGCACATGGGTCAGTGAACTGACAGGGATAATAATCCCCATCTCTTTTCCACCCTGCCCCCCATCTCAGAAAAAAACCCTTTGGGGCCTTGCAAGAAGGCAGGCAGCAAAGCAACTTTCTAACCCTCTAAAAATAAAGTGATATGGTGACCTAACTCTTTTCTCGGTTCTGCATTCAAACTAGAAACGAGTTCCTCTTCACAGAGGAGGGGGTTCCACAATGCAGTTCGCAACACATACCGTATTTTTCGTCCTATAGGGCGCACCGGCCCATAGGACACACCTCATTTTTTGGGGGGGGGGGGGAAATGAATAAAAAAAATTTATTTCCCCCCCCTGCCGCGGCTGCCGCCCCAAGCCTTGCGCACACCTGCCCGAAGCACGGGGCACCCTCTGGAGGGCTCCCTGTGCTTCGGGCGACAGGCTGTCGCCCCAAGCCTCGCGCGCTCGGTGGGACCTCCCGCCGGGCGTGCAAGGCTTGTGGACACTCGCCCGAAGCATGGGGAGCCCTCCGGAGGGCTCCCCGTGATTCGGGCGACAGGCTGCCGCCCCAAGCCTCAAGCGCCCGGCGGGACTTCCTGCCGGGCGCGCAAGGCTTGCGGACACTCGCCCGAGCACGGGAGCCCTCCGGAGGGCTCCCCGTGCTTCGGGCGACAGGCTGCCACCCCAAGCCTCGCGCGCTCGGCGGGACCTCCCACCGGGCGTGCAAGGCTTGTGGACACTCGCCGGGGCTGCAGGCTGCTGCCCGCAAGCCTTGTGAGCCCGCAGGAACTCCCGCCGGGCTTGCAAGGCTTGCGGATAGCTTCCTGAAGCCTGGAGAGCGAGGGGTCGGTGCGCACCGATGCCTCTCGCTCTCCAGGCTTCAGCGAAAGCCTGCATTCGCCCCATAGGACGCACACACATTTCCCCTTCATTTTTGGAGGGGAAAAAGTGCGTCCTATGGGGCGAAAAATACGGTATTTAAAAATATTTTTAGGAGCACTCTAAATTTTCTGAGTTCAACGGTTTTGAACCTGAAACAGCCTCGGCCCAGTATACCCGAAGGAGCATCTCCACCCCCATCAGTCAGCCCGGACATTGAGGTCCATCTCCGAAAGTGTTCTGCTGGTTCCCTTGCTGTGAAAAGCGTAGTTACAGGGAACCAGGCAGAGGGCCTTCTTGGTGGTGGAACACCCTTCAGATGTCAATGAAATAAACAACTATCGGACTTTTAGAAGACATCTGAATGTTTGATGTTTTAGCATGTTCCGATATATGCTGTGAGCTGGCCAGAGTGGCTGGGGAAAATAATCATAATCATCATCAAACCAGAATTCTCCCCACCATAACTTTAATCCAGGTGTAGGAAAATGGTACACACCCCCTTTTGGTTTGCTCCACCATGTGACACAGAGGCTGTGATGAGTGCACACACAACTAAGGCACAAGCAGGGGCTTCCTTGTTCACAATGGACATTCTGCAGAATTTTTATTTGTTCACACTGTTAGGTATCTTGCTATCAGTAAAAAAATGAAGAAAAATACTTACATGGGTAATAAATTCTTTGGCTACTGTGTATCCAGTAGGAGTAAACAGCAGAAAGCTGATAATCAGGTGTGTAACTACCAGGTTGCTACTTGATTTGTTTTGTTTTGTTCCGCTGCTAACTGCAGTCTGCAGATCTGTGACAGAAATAGTTGGAATTCTGAACAGGGCAGTCAGATGGTCACATACAGATCTTGCTTCCACCTGTTGAGAAGCATTGCAAGGAATCAAAGTTTGCAAGGTGAAAGATAAACATTTGTTTTCTTGAGATTTGCAGAAAAGCACATAACTGATTCCTGGGCCAGTGACGGAGGGTCACAGAGGGAGAGATTCTGCATCCTTTACTTTCTGGACCACAAAGAGCAGAATGAAGATTTCAAAAGAACTAGAAACTCCCCGCTTTTGGTAGTCTTGAAAAACTAAGTACCAAGGACCATGATACAGGGTTTGACCTCTCTCTTTTTTTGGTAAACGGAAATGGTGAAAGTCACAAAGTGGAATGAAGTTTGGTTGTTCTATTGTGGGGAAAAGAACAGAAGGCTCTTTGAGAGCTCATGACAATACAGCAGCTACAAATCAATTAATCCCCATGCAATCTGACTTCGTCTGATAAAAAAAATCTAATATGAATCCGGGGGGGGGGGTTGGTTTCCTTCTAGTATTGTTTAAAATACATCCCCCCCCCACACCTTCCCCTCTTGGAGCAGCCAGAACAAACAGCTTCTGGAGCCAAAACAGAGGCAGGATTTGAGAGTCTGTGCATTAAAGGAAATTATTGGCTAGATCCTAAGAAGTATTACCTAAAAATATTTGCTACATAAAAGGCATGGCAGGAAATGGAAAATATCTCCTTCCTGGCAACCCTAAGCGCACTAGTTTTAAGCAATTTATTTCCGTATTGTGTCTTTCCCCCTCTGTTAACATTTATAAATATGCTTCCTGATTTAAAAATGTCTATGTCATTGGCCCAACGAATGCGACAGGCTGCATTCTGGACCTTGATTTCTTAACTGGGCAGGAAGAGGGCAATCTGAAAGTGGGGGATATTGACATCGCCCCTTGTCATGGTCAGATTTAGGCTTTCAGCACCTTCTCCCCTCTGCAGTGGTGGGGGACCTATTAGGATGGGCCGCCATCATAGGCTAATGGGTCCAATGGGTTTCCAGACAGCTATAGGGGATTTTCTGGCTGATATGGCTGGTGCTTCTGTCAAAGCCCTGGCTGGGACATCCAAATAGCTCAAGCCATTGAGATGATCACCCCTGAGCGTCTTTCTCTCACTTCATGGAACCCATTTAGCCTCCTGGTATACCCCAGAGCTTAGGATGAGGAAACAAGTTGGGAGACAGTTTAAACACAAGTGGAGGAAAACTTTGGTCGAATGAAATTGAACACTGGTGAGGACTAGTGGCAGGGAAGGTAACAAAGTAGACTGGGCCAGATTAATGCCTCCTTGCAATATGGGGTGGTCCCTGCCAGCTTGAAGGAGGCAGTGCTAAAACCACTCCTCCAGAATCCCTCCCTGGTCTCAGAAAATCTACAGGTCTATTTCCATTCTGTAATTATACATAAATTGATTTCAACATTAATGTAACTTCTGGTGCCCCCACAACATGTATATAATGACTGCAGTTTCACTCTTTTTATTTTGCCTACTCAGGGGTTAAAATTTTCCTCTCTGTGGAAACGGCTGCAAAACCACATGCTTAAGGAATTTTTTTCTTTTTTATCCTTAATTTCAGTTTTGCAACTGAAGAAAAAGGAGTGTGGGAGGAGAGAGATTTACTGGAAAGGGTCAAGTTAGGGCATGAGCGGTTAAAGAAATTAAAAGGTGTAAACAGAACTAACCCCTGGAAGCATTTTAATGAAAGAAGACTCTGTAAGTAAAGGAAGTGACAATTAAAATTTCCAGAGGTTACTATTATTTTGTGGTGCCCATAATGAAGGTGCCAGGCTCCCCTCTGTAGTGCAATTTTGCATCAAGAGAAGACTGCATTCTAGTGTCACTGCATTTTTTACTACTACTGTCACTACCATTAGAAGCAGAACTATTCCCTTAACTTCAGGGAGGCCATTAATGTACAGAAAACTTACTGTGTACACTCTTACTTGTGCAAAACACAAGAGGCACGTAGAGGTATTAATAAGCACACATACTAACATGGAACATATAACTGCTATCACTTAGCAGGTCACCTGAGTCACAGCTGCAGCAGCCCTTGGTTCTGTCCCTCTTTGCCTTTGGGCAGTGAGCACATAGTGCACAGTCAGGCAACAGACCGCCCAGTTGCCAGAATTCAAAGGAATGCCATGGGATAAAGTTGATGGAAACATCCATAATGGACTAATGCGAAGAGTGTACATTACCCTAGAACAATGCCAGCTGTTGGGAAGGGGAAGAAATAGCCCAACATAATTGTGTTTCATTTATTTTTAACTTAAATTATTTTAGAGAGCTTTCTGGATAAAAAGTCAGGATAGAAATCAACTAATTGGCTAACTGAATAATAGCTCCCATGTCTTTATATGAAAAGGGTACTTGGCGGTAAGTCAGGATGCCTGCAGCTCCTTTGTCACAAGATCACTATGATTTCTAAAGGTATATTAGACAGGAAAGGTTAACCTAATGTCACTGCTATTGGTGATAATGGAAGAACTGTCTCGTTACCACCACACAAAGTTTTAACGTGATCATACTGTGAGACTGCCAAGAGCTATACAATTTTACTAGTGAATGATTCAAGAGTGGCAACTGGCAGTGTAGAAGGCTAGCTGAATAGAGATTATTACATTATAAATGCTAAATGGACAGCTAGCATTTTATTCACCTGCCCTACTAATAGTCTAATCCTCAGAGCTGTTGTTATTTTCCACTACTGATACAGCAGAGTTGCTGTGGCCAGCAACAGACTTAATAGAAAGTCTTGTGACTGGAAATTTTAATGAATGGAAGATCCTTAGAAAGAATCTCTAAGCTTAAACCAGGAACAGGGGACATCTGGGCCACGGGCCAAATTAGGTCTGCTAGGGGTCCTAATTTGGCCCAAAAGGCCATTTTCTCTAAGTCACAGCTGCCTGATGTCATATGAAATCAGGTATAGGGCAGGCAAAGCCATGACTGCAAATGCACTCCCAATTATTCCTTGGCAAAACTGTGTTGCATTCAGTGCCTTTTACATTTCCTGCCAGAGGCAAGGCCCACTTTCCAAGCTCCTGAATGGAGCCAATCCCTGCAGAAAGTGGGGTTTGCGATCATCACTGAATTTCAATTACAGCCTTTACAGCCTTGGCTTAAATAACAACTGTGGCAAAATATTTCTTCTACACCAATGCCTCACATTTCAGACATATGGGCGATTACTGAATTCTCACACGCATAGATAGAACTACCCACCATTGTTTGAGTTCTCCGCCGATTCTCTTCACCTGGATAATAGTAAAATGCCAAAAGCCACAACAAAGCATCTGAGGATTCCACTTGTGACAACAACTGCTCTGCTGCGATATCAGCCCATTCTCCAAAATGAACAAACAAAAACCAGTTCTCAAAGAGGTCTCCACAATATCTGGAATAGCACAAAATGTATTTCAGTTTTTCCATTAATTATAATTTTAAATTTCATCATAGATTCCCAAGAGGTGCTCATTTGGAACCTGTGCAGTCTTATCTGCACATGAGGCAAGGCAATCCATGGCAGTACAATAATAATATTTCATAACAGGAAAAGTAATTCCTTCAGCAGAGAGGTATCTAGCAATTAATTTCCAATATGCACTTAAATAATAAAAAAGATAGCTCACAAATTTTTCTTAAAACTGCACTTTGAAAACTCTTCTGCCTTGAACAACTTTTACATGCAAATGAAACACAAACTTTTGTTTCTCATTTCTGTTACGAGATTACAGTGGTACCTCTGGTTACGAACCTAATTCCTGAGGTCCGTTCTTAAGCTGAAACCGTTCTTAACCTGTGGTACCACTTTAGCTAATGGGGCCTCCCGCTGCCAGTGCATCGCCGGCGCACAATTTCTGTTCTCATCCTGGGGCAAAGTTCTTAACCTGAGGTACTACTTCCGGGTTAGCGGAGTCTGTAACCTGAAGTGTTTGTAACCCGAGGTACCACTGTATAGTGTTTGAGGAGCCGGCCATAGTTATTTATTTATATGTATTTTATTTTAAATATTTTAGGCCAGTTTTCAGATCAACTATCCATCCAAAGCAAAGCAAAAGATAAAACCTGACATAACACAACAACTCTTGACATAAAAAATATAGACAACATAACTGTGCAAGGGCCATAGCTCAGTGGTGGACCATGTGCTACGCATATAAGGTAAAGGTAAAGGTACCCCTGCCCGTACGGGCCAGTCTTGACAGACTCTAGGGTTGTGCGCCCATCTGACTCAAGATGCCGGGGGCCAGCGCTGTCCGGAGACACTTCCGGGTCACGTGGCCAGCGTGACAAGCTGCATCTGGCGAGCCAGCGCAGCACACGGAAACGCCGTTTACCTTCCCGCCAGTAAGCGGTCCCTATTTATCTACTTGCACCCGGGGGTGCTTTCGAACTGCTAGGTTGGCAGGTGCTGGGACCGAGCAACGGGAGCGCACCCCGCCGCGGGGATTCGAACCGCCGACCTTTCGATCGGCAAGCCCTAGGCGCTGAGGCTTTTACCCACAGCGCCACCCACAGCGCGTCCCTACGCATATAGAAAGTCCCAAATTCAATTCCTGGAATTTCCAGGTTAGACTTGAAGTGACTCCTTCCTGAAACCCTGGAACTCCACTGCTGGTCAGCAGTGCACTGCCCAGAAGCACCCGGTTCATAGAGTTGTGGTATTTCTGGACCTGTTGCTGCTTATATGTACAGTACAGACAACAGTAGCCAGAAATGCTTTTTACCAACTCTGGTTCACAAACACCACCATTTCCTAGAGAAGGCTGACTTGACCATGGTAGTTTGTGTCCAAATCACTTCCAGTTACGCTAGTTTAGTTTCACTAACTTTCACTTTGTATCTGGACTCAATTCAAGGTGTTAGCTTTTATCTTTAAGACTCCAAATTTAATTTGCTTCATATTTTAATTCAAACTTGCCCAATTTGCACTTTCTGAAATATGCAAACTGAAATACTGCTTAAAAGCAATGCAGATCCCCAACCAAATAAGAGTATATAAACATACACATATTAGGTGAAAGTATACATGATAGTGAATATATTAGTGAAAACAACATGCAGAAATGCAGTATTGTAGGGGAATTTGCTTGGAGGGGGAAAGTGTTTTAAGAGAAATGCACACTAAAAGACGACAAAATTTCATGAGGACATCTTTAACCCCCCACCCCCACAAACCAGAAACCAATACAAAAATGCAGCAAACTGAGAACTGGAAAAATGAGCAATTGAAAAATCATCACTAGGGAACAGCATATCTCAGGAATCATTTCCTTCCCATATGATCCTGGTCAAGGATTTTGCTCACCTTCTGAGCCCAATCTTGCTGTCATTACACTCAAGAAAATCTGGCTTGCAGCAATGAGAGATTATGATGCAAACCTCCCATTCCTGCTTTGGCTAAACTCATTTTGTTTTGGCCTCACCCGCTACCCAAAAGATTAGCCACCAGGGAATGCAGTTCTCAGGCTGAAAAGGGTTCCCCACTCACGGTTCCATGCAAACAGACAGCTCCACCTGCTGTATTTTTGAGCACAGAAGATGCTACCCCACTGAACTAAATGGGAAGCCCTTGTAGACAAGAGTGCTCTAAGACAGCAATATATGAATGGTCTGGGCTACTAATGTCTTCCCATTTGTTTAATTTCAAGCTTGCCTTGTTGTTTTTTAAACCAATCCAGTAATAAATCAAAACTAAAGGGAATGAAATTTAAACCATCAAGCTATCCCAAGCCAATGGCATTCCCAAAATAAAAGAAAAAGGGAAAAAGCCAAAAAAGAAACCATTGCTACTGTTGCTTACCCAGTGCACTTGGCTTCTACTGCTGCTTTGAGCATTTCTGCAATGTGGGTCAAGTGTTGATGCAAACCAGTAGCTGGCAAGTCTAAAAGATAAATATTAATAGGAGCCATTTGAAGTGAAAACCAAAATATGCACTATTTTGTATTAGAGAAAATTCTTAAGAAACTAGAGGATTTGTAATACAGTACATCAATCTCAAAAATAAACACAGCTGGTAATATGGAAAGCACTTCATAGCTGATCTTACCTGAGGGATGTTTAAGGAAAGCCATCACAAGTGAATGAGGATTATTAGGAAAGTAGGCCTTCAGTGGAAACTTAAGCTAAAAGAAAGTCAATACAAGTATCACTTATGGACTAGTTCTTAAAACTTGCCCCATCAGAAAATATGCAAATACAGCACAAAACATGCTATTCATATTGAAGGAAATGAACCCTACAGATTGCATTCTTACAATGCCACAAACCTCACAACTTTGCTCAAAGTCCTCCTAGCCAACTTTTTAAAAATCCTTTCCATGTCAACATAGAACTGGTGAGTTGTAAGGGGTGATCTAGAGGGAAAAAACCATGATCCCAAGCTGAGAGTTGTATTTGATCCAGGGATCATTATTTGTTTTGCAATCAGTAACCCAAAAGCAAACCTTCCCTGGTTTGTCTTGGTTTCCTTCCCAGAGTGAGCTGGGAGGAAAGGAAAGAAATGCACAGTAAACTATGGTTTATGGCTAACCAAGATGTGTGAATGCAGCACACATGTAGATAGTCTAGCATTGTAGCATTTTTTGTGAGTGAGTTTTTCTGTAATATTACTATCTGAACTTCCTGAACATATCTGCCCACAACAATTGCATATGGTTACAAGACTAGCATGTGGTACTCACAAGGCTGAATGAACAAAACAACATTTTGTTTCCAGCAGAAGTTGTCCATATATTTTATATCCATATACACAAAAATTTAGAGAAATTCTAACTGTTTTGCAGTCATCCTCTACATTAAAGATTTGTACAGAACTCAAGACATGTCCAGTTAAAAAGCTGCAAGCACTCCTGCAAGCACAGCCAAGTATTTCTCTTCTCTAATAAAGAGTGAAAATGAAATCTCATGCAAACAACATATAGAAGATCTAGTTAATGTTTTAAAAAGAGCTTAACAACAAAGCACACAAACAACCTCTACAGCATAGTTGGCTCCTAGCTATTTGAAGGGTGCGTGGGATCTTGGATTACATTCTCCACTCAGTCGCCCCCGCCACCCTGAGGCTGCAAAATGTGCTGCTGCCATAGAAATAAAGCTGCATAAAATTAATGGGAGTGGCATCTGTACATATTAACTGAGACAGCTGCAATTTCAACTCTAATTTATACCTTTTGAAACTAAAAGAGAGATTTAATCACAATGCTAATTAGTCAATTACTGTACTAGTTCCAGTAAGACCCATCTTTTCACTAACTAACAGTTCCCCCAATAAAATTTAAAAGTCACAATGCAGTATTTGGTTCTCTGAAAAGTTTTATGGGAGTAAAACCTGAAAAGATTATGTGGCCCCAAACTAAAGCATCAGACTACCAAGTATGGATACTTTGGTCGCCTAAAGGAAAATGAAGTAATCCCAATGGTACTACAGGTACAAAACTATAGGGAAGAATCAGACGTTACATGAGGGTGTTAAGAAGTAGGGTCAAGTTGTTACAGTTTTTCTAGGTGTAAATCTAGAATATTTATTCATTAATATTTGTTGAGAGAGTGTGTGTTTGTGAGAAAAGAGAGATCATTAACTAGCAGACATCCCTATGAGGCGGAAAGGCACACTAGATTCATGATGTAGTACAGAAATAAAAAGCATAGTTTTGTCAAATGGACAGTTTCTTATAACTTGTACAAGTATATAATCTACAATTGTGAATTAATGCTGTGAAAATAATTTGTGGATTAAGCCTCCTCCCCCTAAAAAACCCTCTTACATTTGATTCCATTTAAGACACCTCAGATTTATCTTAGCGTTCATTTACTATAGCAGCAAGGCATTATTTTGCTCATTGTATTCTTTTAGCACTTTGCAACCTAAAATTGTTTTTTATACTACATTTTGAAGCATCTCATTTAAAAAAATAATAATGAAAAATGGAATTCAACTAACCTGCTTATTATTCTTGTGGTATGCTTGAACAAAGCACTGTGTAAATACCTGCATTACGGTCATTACTTCTGGTGCTCCATCAGTTTCCAGCAGTGCATTCCTGAGCAGCAAAAAGTTTAAGTATGACAGGTCAGATTATGAGTGTGCCAATCATGCAACCATTAATTGAGAGAAGGTAAAAACAAATGAGAGCATTCTTCCCATGCCTTGGGCTGTGGTCTTAAACCTATCTAGCTATTATGCAACCTGGGAAATAAAAACACTAACTTCACTTTGCTTCTTCTTCTTTTTTTTAAATGAACATACAAATACCATTCTGCAATATAATTGCTGTTATTACAAATCCAATGTCAAGCTACAATTGTTTTACCTTGTTTTGGCAACTGCAAACCCTCCAGCTACAACTGTAAACACAGTATCTAGTTGCTCAGTTTTTTACATATTAAATCTCATACTAGAGTTTGCTCTGGAAGCAGGGACATGAAAGGAAGAAATGGCACAGCTATTGTTTGGTGGCATCAAACCTCTGAGCTCATCCCCTGGCTCTGGTTAAACATGTTTCCATCTTCCCTAATCCTCATTCTCCCAACTCTTCAGCATATCTGTTTTTGCTGTCATATTAATACTGTTGATGCGCAATAGGCATTTTGTATGTGGATTATGATTTATTTGTGTGCACTAGGACATTTCCGCTCTCGTTCCCCCATCTTGATTTGTAAGTGATTCATTCTTTTCAAGTTTACTTGGAGAAAGCTTGGGCAACCTTCCAACATTCATCAGAAGCTTTGAAAGAACTCATCTGATGTCTCTGCTACCTCTCCTCACCTGGTCTCCAAAGGTGAGAGCTCACCCTTAGTTCCCATGCTTCCAGTCTGTAGTGCCTGCATGCTCAGTGTCTACCGACAAGGAGAACTCTGGACACTAGTTTTGTTTTTGAAAATCTTCCTTCTAAGGAATTAGGAATTTCCCCAAATTCCTATCAACAATGGAGGTTCTGAGCATCTCATAAGTTCTAACTGCAGATAAAAACAAGAGAAACTTAGGACAAGCTCTCCTGCTGCCAGTCTTTGCTGCTACAGGTTTCTTTCCCCATCCTGCAGCTTAGTATGTCCAGAAAGTAGGGAGAGGAGAGGAATGGGCAGCAGAGAACTCTAGAACTGATGGAGGGTTACACCACAAGCAAATCCAAAACAGGGAGGGGTAAATGGCTCAGTGATTTCTGAATTGTTGAGTGGGGGAAGAGTTCATTTTTAGCACGTCCATATTTAGCCAGGGATTTGCTCCTAAAGCTCCCTCTCAAGTTCAGAACTCAAAGACAGGCTAATTATTGATTTGATACCCCTTCAAACTATCTGAAATGAAAATAATTGTAAAAGAAAACCACTTCCCTCAAGATCATTCAAATTTCTTTTCCTGAATATTCCTTGCCACTTTTGAATTCTACAACTTATTTAGTTTTCATGGGTAGATAAATTTCAAAAACCAGTATCTTTGTGGCATGTAGTGGAATCAAACAATTAAACAAAAATGGATTCCATTATACTTGGACTTGCATGGGGTGGGGGCTGCTATGATAAAATGTGTATGTAAGTACCTCAAGCACAGGCTGGTTTTTCTACTATCAGTTATACAACATCTTGCATTTAATTCTTTGCCTTGAATAGCCAGCAGTGGAACTGAGCTCCGTATGTTGTTCTGTGGATCAGATTCTCGATATTAAGAAATTCTTCATAATTTTGTGAATGCTATCACAAGATGCACCATATTTAAAATATGGGAACGCTGGGACATTCTAATGCAGTTCTATATTGTTTACTGATTTGGGATGGATAGGCAAAATCCTTCCACGTAAATTGTATGTAATCTTACTTGAAAATTTCGTCTATAGTTCTGAAGACAGCCGGATGACATGCAGCTTGGTGCTGTTGCAAATAACAAAAGAGCAAGTAAGATAGTTTAGACAGAGCTTGTATCATAAACTCAACACAAAGCAACAAGACAAACAACAGCTGGTCACCAAAGCATGTAACTCGAATATAGTTCTCGATAGATTGGAGCTGATAGTCCGAAACAATAGTAGGGCACCAGGTTGGAGAAGGCTATCTTAGTCCAATAACTTACATGTGCTTCTTCTCTCCCATGATGCAGTGACTTCAGGGGAATGACTGAGACTAACAGTGACGTTAAGCAAGTGAGGATGGTTTGTTACAATAAAAATGGAAACTGGAAATTAATGATGAGAGCCTGGTTGTTTTCAAGCTACTGAAATTAGTAAAAAATAAAATAAAAGATGCATAACTTCTAGAGACCATGATGCAATACACTACTCCCCCCCCCCCAAAAAGGAGAAGAGAATCCAGTAGGGTCACAATTTATATTACTGTTAACATGTTAAAAAACCAAACAGCGGGGGGTGGGAGGGACCCTTTCCAAGCCTGTTGTGTTAATTACCTAGTCTTTGAATTTCCAAGGACAATGGTTTAAACTTTCTAACTTCATGAAACACTTGACACATTAACTTACCTGCTATGGAACCCTTGCGTGTTGCTGAGGATTCTGAGTGTTCTAGGATGTACACTTTATTCTTGTGGGCTATCATACAGGGCTTGGCAGAATGGGGAAGAAGCATTTTTCAGCAAATTCCCCTCTCTTGCAGCCCCTCTTTCCTAACCCTTAACCAGAAATCTGCTCTGGAAGGCTAAAGCAAATTGGAAAGGGGCTTAGTAAGAGTATTAACTGACCTAAGCTGATCATAGCCATACATTTCCATGGGTCTATTCCGAGCAATGTGGCCCCATACTTGTGGGTGAGTGTTATCAAACCTTTAACAGGTATAAAAGTTTCCCCAAAGTACCATTGGTTTTCCCAGGGTTCATTTTTCATATCCATTATAGATTTGAATGTCTATTTCTAAGGTCTATGTAACCAAATTCACAGGAGGCAGGTAAATATCTGAAATGATGCTGTCATGAGGCTTGTTTTGGGTGTTTAACAATATGATTTAGTAAAAGTTCTGTATCAATTTGGTCCTTAGCTAAAGACTGTTTCATCTGAGATTTATCAGTGACTGTCAGAGGTTATTTTTAACTTTTACTATTACTCTCAAAGTTAAAAATTAATGAATATCAGCATTCAAAAGATACTAATATTTACAATACACAAATTCACCTTATTGATGCAAAGTCCACTTTCTTATATTTTTTCGTTTCTTTTTAAAGAAAATCAGCCACAGGATAAAAAGATGGGTTAATGGCTTTCCAGACAGTTTTTATGACTAGCTGCCCCAACTTGGAGCACTGAGCAAACAGAAATTGTTCCATCCAACTTTCATGTTGGGAAAGCTCCACTCCAAGTGCTCAAAGCAAATATTCATGTAGCCAAGCCAGCTACACAGGGGAAAATATTTTGAGGAAGTATAGATCTCACAAAGCATAAAGGCGGAAATGAGAAGAGAACCGTTAGTCTAAACATCTTCTCATTTTTCCTCACATGTCACTATCATATTGAAAAGATTACATGTCACCTCATTTTCATGTTGTACTCCAGTGTTTTGCCATATAGTTGCATTTAAGTTATCATATTAAATGTATGCCACCTAGTGTTCATGACTATTCACAGCTGGCTTTATCACGTATTTCTAAAAAAAATTAAAAAAATAAAAATTACAGATTGTTGAAGAACTGTCATTTCCAAATTCCTTTTGAAAGTGAATTGGGTGATATATGTTAAAATGACAAAATGTAGGCAGGAGGTCTAGTGCCTTTCTTGCACAAAGTAACTGCTACTAGACTGCTCAGTTTCACATATTTGTACAGTTTGGAGGCTGGTAGTTTTCATATTAAGGTTAACACCACTATCTTTTTTAACCATACCATAGAATCTTATTTACTAGACAGCCTTTAACACTTCCTTAACTTTAGCAATGCTCATGCATTTTCACCTTTCTTTGCCAAGAAGAGTAGCACACACGCGCGCGCGCACACACACACACATACACATATTTAAACACAGTACGGAAAAAGTTGATCCATAACAAAATGTTACACTGTAGAGTGCTGCCATTCAGGATTCTAGCCACTCCCCCCAATAGTCAATTATCATTGTGGGACCACTGAGCATCCTCACTACTTGTGGAATGGTTTTGTGGTTTCCCCCCGCTAAAGATTTTTTGCACTTTTTCAAATCTTGTGGCTCCCCCAAGCCTACTGATAGCTCCTTTGTGTGGGTGGATGGCCCACACTCGGATGGATCAGCACTCGGAGAACTGAGATTGGTAATAAAAGTGTACAAGTGGGGCCCTGCAATGAAATGTTGCACTGTGGGTTGCTTCTGTTCAGGATCCTAACCATTCCATTCACACATCCCCTATCCCATTTTCCCTTTCTCCTTCACAAGTATGTTTCATGGCCAATGAGGATGCTCAGTTCTGACAGATGCCTTCTTACACATGGGTGGTTAGTTTGACTATGCAAGTGCCAAAGTGAACTATGTAAGTTCAAATTCCTTTTCAGCTGTGAAGTTCTCAAACTAATCTACCTCATAAAGTTGCTGTGAAGCTAAAACACCAGGCTTTGCTGGACACAAACAACTTATTAATAAGTAAGCTTGATCATGGCCATACGTAATTTTAGTTTGCAGAGTCTGCAATATCAAATGCATTTTGGAACCAGTCAAGAATTCTATGTAAGATTAACTAATAGCTTGGTTTAGCTAGCAATAAATTGATGTCACGTGGACTTGCACTGCAGTATCACCTGCATTGATTTTTGGTATTCTACAACTTTCTGTTGAAGTTAAGCTTAGCTGACGTTTAGTCTCAAACACTGATTGTGTTCTATTTGAAATGTTACAGCGAATGTTTACATGCTCAAAGGGTTCTTAACAGAAGACAGAAAATCTCTTGAGCAATATACAGTGTTAGTGGAATCTAAATAAAAAGCTGTCAACTGAAAGAATCTGACAAAATCTGCACAAAGTGAAATGTGACTTTATTTAAACTAGCCCAAGAGCATCAGAAACTGGCAGGTGCTTTTCCTTGTCAGTGCCCCTCTCTCTATCTGAACTCCATCTTTTTACATGGGTAGCCAGGAAAGGGCAGAAAATGAAGCCTTGTGCTACACCAGGTTGTAGTGCATATTTAGCCAGTGAGCTATAAAGGCTTTTGTTCTCCTCTTCCCTAGTACTCATTGTGAAGGCACACTCATACTGCTGTCAGCTCAACTCTGCACCAAACACTGAGGTCACAGGAAGGGAAAAGGACCAAGTGCTCCTCTTACCGATGGTGGCACCTGTTTCAGAACTCTGAGACAGAGAGATCTCTTCCCACATCTATCAGTCCTCTAACGAAGCCACCACTGTCAGAGTAGCTGCAACCAACTTTGTTTGATGCAGACAGGATACAGGACAAGTGTGTTTACCAGTTTCTATTTAGCAACAGTAGCAGCTTCAACTAAAGATTCCAAGATGAGAGACCAGGGAGAGATCCCTACCCCGAACTGGTTACTTTACGTTAACTTTTGTTGAAATAGCTGCTACCATCAGAATGCCGGGACACTTTGTCCACTTCTCTAGCAACACAACAAAACAGCAAAAGTCTCATATTTGTCAACTCCCAAAATCCACAAGATTGGCCATTTGTTAATGTTGTTTTCCTCACAGTTGTGGAGCAATAAATTATCTTAGGGGCAGATGAACACCTTGGGATCAGTTTCAGATCTCTTGACACAAAAGAGGCAAAGATATCAAGACTGAAAAACAAAATCACATCAAATCGAAAGCTGGGAACAGACTGTGTTCCAAAAGCAGTTGCTCAGCTGAAATTAACTGGTGGACTGAGCTAAAAGTCCATCCCAGCAGATATATACCCATGTGTGGGCCCAGGTCTCCAGTTTCTCATGCTATTATGCAAACAATTTTCATGCTGTTGCAAGTTGCACAAGCATTGCCTGCTGGTGTTACTGAACAGAGTTGGCCACAGAAGACCAGTGAGCCAGCAGAATGCTTTTGCATTCATGAGAAAATCACTCTGGTGATACCTGTGGCTGGGCATCAGTGCAAAAAGACTGCAACATCCATACAACTAATTTCTGACAATACCTGTAACTGTTTCCCTTCCCCATGCAGTTCACACAAGATATTTGCCTGATTATTTTGGTATGTTTTATGCACACACCTTTAACCATCTGGAAAAAGAACTAGTGTTACCTACTCCTGAAAAGCAAAACAGTATTTATAGAGGACATTTCACTATGTGCAACCTGTATAACACTTATCTTTTGTTTTTATACTTCCTAGTAACTATAGAATTTCCATTACCAATTTCATTTTTTCCCAAGGGATGGAAACACAAGTAACAGCACACCACATAAACTAGAAGTTACTAGACCATCACACTTTAATTACATTTGGAGCCCTAATATAACAGTGTTGAGTATCATATTTCTTCCATAATAAAGCACAGCAGTCTTCCACTACCAAGACTAAACTTTAAAAGTTGCTGCTCTGTATACTGCTCGATGTTGTATTCTACAAGATGCGGATATATAACATTGTCCTACATCATTCAGGCAAAGCCCTATTGAAGATACATTCATGGTTGCATTAGAAATATTGTCAATTACTGTCCTGGTTGCTTATTTATTTAAATTAATTGTAACTTAAAATAACAGGCTTATCTCTGGGATTATTTCTTTGGTTCTTAAAAGGACTATGGTTCTCTGAATATCCAATGGCAATCCAAAATTATGCCTATAGACTGGAACTGTTTAGACTTCCTTTTCACTTGAAGCAGTTTCATGGCAGGCTTATAATGTGAAACCAAGGACAAAAGCACTTGGAATTGCAAAAATCTCTTGCCTGGTTATGAAACTGAAGTAGTTCTTCCTACTAGATGGGTGGGAAGGTAACCTGGAGGGGAGGCATATAACTATTGAGAAACAAAAAGAATCCTTGCTTCCAAACCACTCTCTCTTCCTACCCATCTTTAACTGGCTGCTCTGGATGATAGGGGCCCATCCCTCAGCACCAAACAACCCTAATTACAGCCCAATTAGAGGCTTTTTTTGACAGATGCATTCACAATCAGTTTTAGCCAACAATAATATTGTGTTGTTAAAATGTATAACAGGAAGTCAACTCATCAATAGGACTCCATGAACTAAAAACAGAGAGGTTATATATACCTTTGTTAGCCCTGAAAATCTTTCAATAAAAACAATTAAAAAATGAAAATCACACCCTTTTTTCTTACTAATAATACTGCACTCTCATATTAAAACCTTAAAGCCATGGATCATTATGCTATTTACTCTTCTACTTATTGCTAGGACTATATGGCCAGGTTGGCACATAACGCTAAACCATGGTTAATGTAAACCAAGGTTTAGAAACTACCACCGAAGTATGGTTTATTAGCGTGGTTTATTCATGGTCAAGCCATGAAGCCACATTCAGATGAACAAATAAACCATGATTTAGTATTGCATATGCACAAAGCCTACAAGTACCACTTGGACTGCTTGCTCCTGAATATACTTATATTGTGTATTTTAGAAATATTTAAAGGACCTTTGGTACAACAGGAACAGCAAAATCTTAATAGTTTTCTAATGCCAGTACATCCCACTTACCAATAAGGAAGATTTTATCAGGCATGCCATCTCTTCCAGTGAACTTGGCTGAGTGGAGATTAGAACTTCAAGATTTTGCAGCACTGCTTTCTCCAGACCAGGCAGATGGCGAAGCCACAACTGCAGCACAGCAGATTCAGGCAAGAAAATCTTTTTTCTGTATTGGAAAAATAAATAAAATGTTCATCTCAGCCTACTATGAAACAGATGTCTTGTGACTGGCAATGCCCACCTCAGTAGCCATGCTGTGCCATAACAACGTAACAACCCTGCTATATCAGCCAAGGCCATATCTGGTCCAGCATTCTGGCTACAATGGCTTACCAGATGCCTAGAGGAAACCCACAAACAGGACATGAGGGCAATAAAGCCATTGTTCATGCCCCCCCAAATTGCAATCGTGATGGCCAAAAACAGTCTCAAATTTCCAAATGGGCCCAGAAGGTTGGGAACCCCTGCTCTAAGTTTCCAGTGTCTGGTTGTGAATGAGATTTTCTCCTCCTCCATTTTAATCTTAGAGTTCACATTCCTGACCACAAAACTGCCCTCCTTCCTTTAAAAAGAACATAAAATCATATGCAAGTCCAGAATTTCCTTTTTCATTGCCCTTTCATAATTGTTTCCAGTTGCTGTGCTAACTGAAGCAAGCTGGAATTAGAATAATTACAGAACAGTAAGAATAATAATTAGCAACCTTTTCTTCATTTTATGAACCATTTCCAACTTACTGCGAGCACACTATGCCCATGACCAGAAACATTGTTCTGTTCTAATGATGGGTGCTAATGTGAACTTTGTCTATGATTTATTTCTGTAAATCATGGCATTACTGAAGTTGGCATAATTTAATATAAAAAAATACCCCTGAATTTTAAACTATTTTAACCTTTGTACTGGTCCATATCTTAAATATGGACCGGAAGGCATGAGTAAATATTCCGATCTCTGAATACCTAAAATAAAGATCAGCACATGAATCCCATGTTACCAGCAAAGTTTAACTGTCACCTCTTATAGGAAAAAATGGAGTTTTGCACAGAAAATGGAACTGTCTGTGAAAAATAACCCCCCCCCCCCTTCACTCTACACTCTCAAGGACCAGCCTCACACTTCACTGGATCATGGACCAAGAAAGGGAAGAGAGCGACACTGTAGGCTTGTATGTATAGTACATTGACGGGGAGAACCTAACTCTCAAACAAAACCATTGATTTAGGAAAGAGAGGTTTCAGAAGGAGACAGGTTTAACATTGGTTAAGAAAGTAAAATACTTGGGGGTTAACATGACTGCTAAGAATTTAAACCTATTTAAAGACAATTATGAGAAATGTTGGTCAGAAGTGAAAAAGGATCTAGAGATATGGTCAAACTTGAAGCTTTCCTTGTTAGGCCGAATTGCTGTTATAAAGATGAATGTATTGCCAAGAATGTTATTTTTGTTTCAATCACTGCAAATCTTGGACAAAATGGACTGTTTCAAGAAGTGGCAGAGAGACATCTCTAGATTTGTCTGGCAGGGCAAGAAGCCCAGAATAAAATTTAAAATATTAACTGATGCAAAGGACAGAGGTGGATTTGCCCTGCCAGACCTTAAACTTTATTATGAATCAGCAGCATTTTGCTGGTTGAAAGAATGGCTGCTTCTTGAGAACACAGACATTTTGGACCTAGAAGGTTTCAACAATGTTTTTGGGTGGCATGCATATTTGTGGTATGACAAGGTTAAAGCACATACAGCATTTAAAAACCATATTGTCAGGAAAGCATTGTTAAATGTCTGGATAAGATATAAGGACTTACTTGAAAACAAAACCCCAAGGTGGTTGTCACCGATGGAAGCAAAGGCTCAGAAAAGGCTCAATATGGAGGCCAAATGGCCGAAATATTGGGAAATTTTGGAACAAGAAGGAGACAAGTTGAAATCGAGAATTTAAAAAACAAAGTGCGAGATTGGCTTCATTATTATCAGATAATGGAGGCATACAACTTGGATAAAAAAATTGGCTTCCAGGTGGAAAAATCAAAACTAGAAACAGAACTGTTAGAACCCAAAACTAAGAATTTGTCAAAGATGTATAACTTGCTGTTGAAATGGAATACTCAGGATGAAACGGTGAAATCTGCTATGATTAAATGGGCACAAGATGTTGGACATAATATTATGTTTGCTGACTGGGAACAGTTGTGGACCACAGGTATGAAATTTACGGCATGTAATGCCCTAAGAGAGAATATTATGAAAATGATATACAGGTGGTACATGACACCAGTCAAGCTTGCAAAAATCTATCATTTGCCCGATAATAAATGTTGAAAATGTGAAGAAAACGAAGGTACATTCTTTCACCTTTGGTGGACGTGCCCAAGGATTAAGGCTTTCTGGGAGATGATCTACAATGAACTGAAAAAGGTATTTAAATATACCTTCTTGAAGAAACCAGAGGCCTTTCTCCTGGGCATAGTCGGCCAATTGGTGTCAAAGAAGGATAGAACTTTTTTTATGTATGCCACAACAGCAGCAAGAATACTCATCGCAAAGTATTGGAAGACACAAGATCTACCCACCTTGGAAGAATGGCAGATGAAGGTGATAGACTATATGGAACTGGCAGAAATGACTGGCAGAATCCGAGACCAGGGAGAAGAGTCGGTGGATGAAGATTGGAAAAAGTTCAAAGACTATTTACAGAAATATTGTAAAATTGATGAATGTTAGAATGATGTTGGATAGAAACTAAGTGGTCTTTGGCTGTAATGTTATAAGGGAATATGAAAAAATGGACTATTATCAGGCAAAAATTTAAGGTTATAATACTTTAAGATTGAAGACTAGGATAAACAAAGAGGGGAGGGATTTGTTGAACCAACAAACGGAATTGGAATACAGAAAAGGGAGGCGTGAGGAGGTCCGGGAAATAAGCAAATGAAGATAAGTGATTGAAAGACTGAACTGTTTTTAACTACTTTTATTTTGTATTTTTCTTTTGTATTTTTCTTATTTCTTTTTCTATGTTGTAATATTCTGAAAATCTTAATAAATATCTTTTTTTTAAAAAAACACACCACTGATTTAAGTTCTGCTTACTTCAGGACAGGTATACCCCTTCTCCACCCTTTCTCACATCACTTTATTGTGGGTACTGCGGCAAACAATCACACTCACTCTCCAGGCTTTTGGAGTTAGAACATCTTTTTACTCTCAAGATCAAGGTGGTATGCTGCCCACTTATATTGTAACTTTGCTGTCTAAAAGCAGCAGCCATATTCTGTTACTCTTATTTCAAGGAATAATCCAATCTTTATGTATTCCTCAGATGTGTGGACTTTTTGTGGGCACAAGGATGGGGAACATAGTCATAGTGGACATACATTTAATCTAACAGTTTAGGTTCTTAAACCTCTTGAGAGCGTGTGTAGGAATACATATGGGCTCTGCTGTACATCTTGTAACATTGCTTAGTTAAACTTGGATGTAATTAGGGTGGGAAATGAGGGTGTGGTGGCTTGTTACTTTTCATTATATTATCTCTAGTTATAAGATCTCACCTTTAAGTTATTTCAGACAGGACCCTTCAGTGCATATTGAAGGTGCCTGCTTTTCTTATTCCTTTAATCTCTGCTGACACCATTTAATTCTATATATTACCTTATTTGCCAATGATCACACAGTACCTAAGTTTAAGCTAAGGAACTAATAGATCAGGAGAGTTAAATATGATTTATTAATATTTGTAATAGCAGATAATAGGATTATTAGCATAAAGGTAAAGGTACCCCTGCCCGTACGGGCCAGTCGTGTCCGACTCTAGGGTTGCGCGCTCATCTCGCTTAAGAGGCCGGGAGCCGGCGCCGTCCGAAGACACTTCCGGGTCACGTGGCCAGCGTGACGAAGCTGCAGCTGGCGAGCCAGCACCAGCGCAGCACACGGAAACGCCGTTTACCTTCCCGCTATAAAGCAGTACCTATTTATCTACTTGCACTTAAGGGTGCTTTCGAACTGCTGGGTGGGCAGGAGCTGGGACCGAACGACGGGAGCTCACCCCGCCGCGGGGATTCGAACCGCCGACCATACGATCGGCAAGTCCTAGGCGCTGAGGTTTTACCCACAGCGCCACCCGCGTCCCCGCGTATATTTGTAATAGCAGATAATAGGATTATTAGCATGCTGCATGATAAATGATACTTTGGTTGCTATCTCCCTTGCATTAGTTCTCTTCCGTATTCTAAACCAATAGCCAGTCGCCCTCACCCTCTCCCCTCACAGGCTTTTTTCAGATGACTTAACCTAAATTCTTCCTTCTGGTCAGTGGCTCACTGCTTCTTGTGGACAACTGTGAACAGGTAACAATCTGACTTTCACACTTCCAGGAAATGTTGCTGCTGTCTCCCACTACCTGCAGACCTTCTCAGTTTCAGATCAATTTCAGCCCATGGTCCCATACCGAAGGTTGTGATATATTCTATGTTGGCTTCATCATGAAGTTGTTTGAATTATTCAAACATTACAAAGACATAGACTGCAGTTTGAGGGGTACATCCAGTTTTGATAGAACATACTTTTCTTGTGTGGTGTACTGCTTGCCTCTCTCATGGTGCCCTTTGGTGCATAAAATGCCAAGAGGCATACATTCTTCCCAAAACAAAGCAACGCTTCTTCTTGTTTGGGGTGTGGTCTGGCCCCTAATGCCATCATTAATGCATACACTGCTGTTTTGAGATAGATGTGTGTTGAATCGGGCCTTCCTTGTGGCAGGGCAGGTGCTCCTAATAAAGTGAGCTTGCCTTTCCCTGTGGATCAGCCAAGCCCCCAAATAAATGTGATGCTATGTGACAAAACAGAGTATCTTTAAAACTTACTATGAAGTAGTCGACTTTAATTTTTTTAATCAATTGGCTTGATCGCTACACAAAATCATAACTTTGGTTGGCCACAATGACAATATAGAGCCTGAGCCCCAAAATGCAAAACAACTCCTTTGTACTCAGTGTTGCTTGCTCTATCAGATCTTTCATTTCGTAGAAGGCAAGCCACCCACCATTTCACAGAAGGAAACTTCTCTCTCTGCCAGCCAACACACCACCCCCTCCCAATGAAATAGCTTTCTTCCTCTTGCTGTTCATGTCTAGTTGGACGCTACCCAGAGAGAACTGTTCTCTTTTCCAAGTGTGCTGACCAGTTAGAACCGTGGTGGTCTTAATCAGAAAGCTTGGACACTGCAGGAAGAATGAAATGAAACTTTATACTTTGTAATCTGGTGCTGAAGGGATTAGAGTGTCTGGCAGGTACCCTGGTAGGTCTCTGTGGGTGCACTCAGGAGCCACATTCAGAATCCCAGATTTAAGAGTGCTTCTGTATCATCAGCATCAAAAATATAAAACTCACTGGTGCAAAAGGCAGCCCAACAATGAAAACATCAGTCAGGAACCAGAAGACTCTCCTTTCCTTTCAACAGGCCTGTGCAGAGCTTGTCTGAAGCCTGAACAGGAATCTTGTTAGAATACAAGTTATAAACTTAAACAAAAAAGCAGCCAGTCCCTGGTGGGGGCCCCCAGACAGCTTAGCCCTCCAAGGCCTGGGGCAAGTGTACCTGGCTGCCCACTTTCAGGACATTCTGAGGACAAAGGAGAAGATGCTGTAAGAAAGAGAGAAACGGATCTCCCTTCAAGTAAAGGTGTGGACGGAAGCATGAAATGCAACAGGAGCACATAGGGTGTGATTAACTACTCCCCTTTGATTAAGAGCAGAAATTGTCAATTAGAAGAAAATGTATGAGTTTTCAAAGAAGCTAAGTAATAATTCAGGATTTCTTAGGAATAAATGTGCTAATGAATAATTTCCCTGGGTTTTTTTGGCAAGGAGAAACCATTCACTATGTTCTCTCTTGTGAGTGGACTTGCATATTTTTCTATGCCAGAGACTCCTGTACTTCCTTGCCTGAACAATAAAAAATGCATTCACCGGCCCTAAACACCTCAGTTGATAGCTGGGTGGCAGCAGGCGGAACAAATTCAAAGACTCACCTGAATCATCACTGCAAAAAGTCACTGCAGGGTAGAATTAAGGAATGTGATCACTAAGAGATGCAATCCATAAGGAGAACATGCTCTTCCTGATCCACAAAATGCAATTCATGAGCAGAAATAAATTTGTTCACCTGTATCAACCATACAGGAGACACAAAAGCCTGTCAAAGAGGGTAAGATCAAACAGCAGCCAGACATTCTGTGAGCCCATGTGCACTCCTATATGGAAGCATGTATATTAGCTACATAGAGGTGCTATGGAATGAATATACAGTGGTACCTCAGGTTAAGTACTTAATTCGTTCCGGAGGTCCGTTCTTAACCTGAAACTGTTCTTAACCTGAAGCACCACTTTAGCTAATGGGGCTTCCTGCTGCCGCTACGCCGCCAGAGCACAATCTCTGTTCTCATCCTGAAGCAAAGTTCTTAACCTGAAGCACTATTTCTGGGTTAGCGGAGTCTGTAACCTGAAGCATATGTAACCTGAAGCGTATGTAACCTGAGGTACCACTGTATGCTGTTCCAATACGGTAGATATCAGAAGAATCAAACATGAAATTTCAACAGATGGTTAACCATAATTTCAATGAAAGGGGAACTGGGGTGTTTTTAGGCTACTTACTGTAACACAGCCTCATTCACCGCTTCTAAAAATTCAGTATGGAGGACCTCTTGTGATCTGTCTTCATGATAGCTAAGAAGCGCTTCCAGCAGTGGCATTACATCAGGCAATGTAATAAGAGGTATACAGAGAAGGGATATGGATTTTACTCGTGAAGACATACTGGAGAAACAAAATAAGGTTTCTTTTGTAGGATGAAACGGTTATATTTCTACTTTTCTAAAACATTAAACACAGAGAACTAGAACAAATACCTACTTGTAGCTAAAAGGAAGACATTTTTATCCTAAGGACTAGCAAAATAAATAAAATAAAAATAAAAATAAAAAAATTAAATATTTATTTGAAATGCAGCTACATTCACAACACATTACATACCTCAATTACATTCATATGTTCAGGCTCTGACAACAATAAACACTTGGACTTGTATAGAACAATGCTCAAGAGAACACCAGAGACATATTACCCATGACAGAGCTTTCAGCAGATTCACAGTGAAATCCTAACTCAACAGAAATTTTGCTATTGACTGACATCAGGTGTGCAGCTGAAAGAAACATGAACTTTCTCTGGCTCTTTTCCATGATTCTGTGATTTGTGCACAATGCAATCTAATTTCCATGGTTTCCAAGTGGACAGACAAAAACTGTAAAATCAAGTCTCCAAGCAATAGGAGTATAGTTTCAGTAATGGAGATTACTGGAGAAATGCCCTGCATTATTGGAGTAGTAAAATCTACATTTAAAGAAAACAAAGCTCATTCAAATCTGCAAGCGTATATACAAGATGAGCTGCTGCATGACTTAGCTGCAGTGGGGAGCAGTAAAGTGCTATACCTGGAGCAGAACATTGGCTGCATGGCTATGGCTCGATATAGAAACAGATAACATTGTTTGAGCTGTGAGGCATGTGAAATAAAATATGCAAAGACAACCGGTCTGCCACTGCCACTTGAGGCAGAACTGGTATTGGTTGTGTGAAGTGCTTTCCATCAACTGCCAAACTATGACCCTATCTGAGATAATCTGGTTGCAGTGATCTATCTATGCTTTGGTAACCTCAATATTAGATTACTGCAATGTGCTTTACCTTGGGTTGCCTTTGTAGACAGTTCAGTAACTAAATACTGCAGAACATGGTCCCCCAATTGCTCACAGGCTCAAGGGAAGATTATCATGAAACACTGATTGGGGTGAGTTGCAGTTGAATCAAGTAAAATACTGAAGGATGATGCAATGTTCAATTAGCTAGTACAATTGTCTGTGATTTTAGCTGGGAGAAAGGCACCGTTGCAGTGCAGGTTGAGGATTCACTGTGAGCTGTTTTGCTAAGTAATATACTTACTACAAAAATAATGTTTAAGAACAGTTTGAAATAGACATATTTAATGTTTTTTTTCAGTATAAGTGCTTTTCCACAAAAGAAACAGAACATTCATTCTAGTCATCTATATACTAAAATCACAGAAAGATAATACTAACCTTTGTTGTCTGTTAACTCTATTAAACTGATTTCTGCTGAGTTCTGTCACTAATGATAAGACCACCTGTTTAATAAAGTCAATCACATGTTAGAATCATAGAATCATAGAGTTGGAAGAGACCACAAGGGCCATCGAGTCCAACCCCCTGCCAAGCAGGAAACACCATCAGAGCACTCCTGACATATGGTTGTCAAGCCTCTGCTTAAAGACCTCCAAAGAAGGAGACTCCACCACACTCCTTGGCAGCAAATTCCACTGTCAAACAGCTCTTACTGTCAGGAAGTTCTTCCTAATGTTTAGGTGGAATCTTCTTTCTTGTAGTTTGTTACATGTTACAAAGAAAGACATATTTCAGTGAAGGTTGCATCAGTAGTATTTTCTCGTAGTATTATGATGTGGCAAGATTTGGTATTCTATCAATTGGAGTGTTATTAATGAAAAATTAATAAAAATTATTTACAAAAAAGTAGTATTTTCTCGTTGTTATGATTTGCATCTCCAAGTGAATTAATAATCTCTGTACTTTTTGTGACCTGTGGTCTTGACCATAAATCAAGAACTGAAAAGAAACCATGGGTGGAATTTATTTGTTTTATTTTAAAAACTTATATCACACCTAACTCTCTTCAAAGAGACTGAAGGTGGCTAACAAGTTGTCCCTCTAGGCAGGGGAGGCTGGAGGAGTGCTAAGTACTTTCCCCCTTCTCACTGTCCTTGTACTCTCTGCAAGGTGGGGGAATGGTTATCAGACATCCTTGACAAATAAACTCTAGCTAAGAAGTGGCTGCCTTTCTCTTAATCTTGTGCGATTTCTTATATGTTCCTCCATCTCTCAAGCTTCTATGGCAACATAATGTGTCAATTGGCTTAGAGAATGGCTCTGAACTAACACACTGAATTTACAAAGGCATTTTGCATGCTTCTGAAGCACTCCATGAAGGCAAAGATGAAAAGGGGCACTTGCCAACAGTTGCCATGGCAAGCATGATAAGCACATTTGTAGGCTCCTGATACAATCGACCATGCTTGTAGCTAAAGGTTAAATGTACTAAGTACTCACATTTTCAATTAATTTAGAATAGTAATCTGCAGACGTGAACCCAAGAGTTGAAATAAAGTTGTTGATATCAGTGTCATGATTTCTCAGCCCAGAAAATGAGAGCAAGTGGCACAATGAACCCTAGAGGAAAAGTCAACAGGAGAGAGAAATATCTGATTAAAAACTAAGCAACTTCTGTTATTGTCACAGGCAGCAGGAAAGCATATGCATCGATTACAGGCTTTATATAACTTGAATTCAATTCAACATCTGTACCTTCAACACAAAGTTATGGAACCTACAGAGGAGGCAATGAATCCAAAACATTTTATCTCAAATAGGGAATGAATAATTAAAAGAAACAAATGGAAATTAGCAAGTGTCAAATCCTTTCATGAATCTTGGGAATGTATATAAAATTACGTAACGAATGCTCAGATAAAATATTTATCACACATTTGAAAGGGCACAAACTGAAAAATATGCCAACATGATTTAAATGGCAGAATCAAATGGGCTATAAGAAACACAAAGCCTGAAGGGCAGTATATGGGGAAATTATGGTATGCTAATACTATCTCCGTGGGCTGCTATTCCAGCCCCACTGAGAAGATTCTCCTGCTGTTCTATAGTCACAGCTTTCCCCTTCTAAGGACATGGTAAAGTTCCACACACTTATCATTTGCACAGCATTATTGTGTGACATAGCTCTGAGATGCATCATCCTATGGATATGTGTAGACTATGAAGAGCCTTAAAGGTTGTGGGGAAAGGCTTTCCCTGATAGGACTTGAACAGCCACAGACTTTATGAATGATGTGTGCTGCACATCCCCTCTGGAATCTGCATCTGATAGGCCCAAACTGAGACAGTCTGAGAGCTCCTCTTAGGGACTCAGACCTCTTGTCTCTTGCGTTGTGATTTAAATAGAAGTGCTCTGGCAACCCTTTACAAGGTTCCCTCTTCCCTGCGAAGTTATATCTCTTGTTTCTTCAAAATTACAAGATCCTAGAATAGTTTGTGATCCTGCACAGGCTTATTTAGAGTGACTTTTTACAGGCCACACCAGAAACATCCATGTCTGCATGTGTTCTTCAAGCCCAGTGTCTCCCACAATTCTGTATGAAGTAGATCAAGGCTGTGGCATATTGCACATTTTAGATCTGACTCCATAACTAGTATAGTAATATGAAACCAGGATTATCCATGTATAAATTATTTTTAATTGTGTATGTGTGTGTGTGTGTATTTGAAGTGAATTGCTCAATGAGTCATATATATTTTAAACACATGCAGTTTTGTTACACAGCGTGATAAAATGGAATACATAACAATATATAGGAAAAGAAATATAGCTTCCAAAAAGTAGAACCCCAAAGCCTTTATTTCTTACTGTTGCAGAGCACAAGTTGAACAGACAAAATCAATACTTTCAGAGAACTACTGTAAAAAAAGAAAAAACACAAAGTATTTGTTCTACCCACAGTTCGCAGAAAGAAAACTGTTATACTGCCATCTAGTGGCTTAAATGTTAAAGCAGGAAATAGTGCTTTGGATTTAAAGCTAGACTGATCATTATAGTGGCCAAACTTCAAACATAAAAACAAACACAAACCAATATATTTTGATGATTTATCCTAATTTCAGTCATTAGTCTTCTATAATTGCTTTGAAGGTGCAGATCAGCTCTAATTTTTAAAAAATGTTAGCGTTTTCTAGCCCAATTCAAGCCTGCACAAATTGTTATTCTGCCACAACGTAGAATGCAGAGTACCATACTAATTCCAATGGCTTGGTCTAACTGCTAGCCATCAAAAGGCCATTAATCAGGACCCTCCTGTCCACCATCAAACCCAATGAGAACTCAATTTCTATCTGGACCTTCACTTATTGGTAGAACACATGCTTTGTCCAGAAAAAGTCGTATGTTCAATTCCTGACATCTCCAGACAGGGCTGGAAAACATTCCTTTCTGAAATCCTAGAATTCTTATTGCTGATCAGTGTACACAATATTGAGCTAAATAGAGCAACGAGTCAGTAAAAGGCAGCTTCCTCCTAATTTTGGATAAGCAAAGAATAGGCTCACAACAATGCTATGGATAACATGAAACCTTTCTCTTCCCTCACATTTTCTGGTTGTTTCTAAGTGCTTTGGAAATCAAAGGCAGATAAATAAAACCTTTCATTTCCTTTTCATTTATTATGCACGTTCCAGCTTGTCATTACAGTCGTACCTTGGTTCTCGAACAGAATGCATTCTGGGAGTCCATTCGACTTCCGGAACTGTTCAAAAACAGAGACGTGGCTTCTGATTGGCTGCAGGAATGTCTTGCAGCCATTTGGAAGCCGCAGAAGCCACACCGGACGTTCGGCTTCTGAAAATCATTCGAAAACCGGAAAACTCACTTCCAGTTTTCAATTGTTCAGGAGCCGAAACGTACAAGTTCCAAGGCGTTTGGCAACCAAGGTATGACTGTATCTTTCTTAAATTGTGGTGCCCAGAATGACACAGTACTCCAGGTGTGGTCTGACCAAGGCAGAATAGAGAGCAACTTGATCAGGACACTATACTTCTTATGGTGCAGCCTAAAACAGTATTAGCTTTTTTTGCTGCTGTATCACACTGCTGACTTATGGTAAGCTGTAGTCTACTAAGACCCCTATATCCTTTTTAGAATGTACTACTGGAATGCAAAGTGTCCCCCGTCTTACATTTGTATAGCTGGTTCTTCCTGCCCAAGTCTAGAAGCTTACATTTGTCCCTATCAAAATTCCTTTTGCTAGTTTTGGCCCATTCTCCAATCTGTTAAGGTCATATTGAATCCCAATTTCTGTCTTCAAGAGGCATTGGCTACTCCCAGTTTGGTGTCATCTGCAAATTTGACGAGCAATACTTTCATCCAAGTCATTTCTAAAGATTTTAAACAACAATGGATTCAGGGCAGAACCCTACGGCACCCCACTTGTCACTTTTTTCCCAGGATGATGAAGAACTATTAATTAGTACTTTTGGAGTTCAGTCAGTCAACCAGATACAAATCCACCTAACAGTTATCTTGTCCAATGAAAATTTCCGAACTGCTGAAGTCATCAGATACCTCTCTAAGCCTCTTCTTCCAAACAGTGGCAAACCAACAAGGAATGTGTGCTCACAATTCCTTAAGGAAAAGCTGGTAAAACCATTAGCTGACTGGATGGTGGGTGGTAATGGGGAGAACATTCGGAGCGCAGATCTCAAAAGTTTACAAAGAAAACACAAGTTATCGCATTAAAAGAATGGAAGTCATCCTTATACCTTAGGGCAGATGATTTGTCCATGTACCCCAAACTATCCTATTCTAATTGGCCAAGGCTCTCAATGGTTTCAGGCAGAGATCGTTTGCATCACCTGCTGCCTAATCTTTTTAACTGAAATTGAACCTAGACCTTCTGCATGCAAAGTGCTATACCACTGGGCTACAGTCTCTCCCAATCTTGCACTTCTCTGTAATTACACAAAGAATCTTGCTATTTTCAGTCATGTCCAAAGTACGTCTCTCAAATTATAGCGTTCACATCCTGAAGAGGACCACTCTGAAAAAGGTGAGTCATTTGCATTTCATGTTTTTCCTCCTTGTCAATAACCCTATTAATTCACTAGTTTAATTCACATTTACTTTCAGCCACTTCCTAAAAAAGCAAGATTAAAGCATGCATTTCTGAGGTCTTTAAGACACTAAAATCTACCAGTTCTTAACTTTCTTCTTGAAATGTTTAGAACCTCTTAAATTTACTGCTGTGTTTCTGCCTCTTTTCTTTTAAAATCCTGCTTACATGATTCTGTGTCCCCCATGCCATTTAAATGAAATTAGTAACAATAAAACACTAGTATTTGGAAAAATCCATTTCACTACAAAACAAACAGAAACCTAGAGAATTATAGTGGTTCAAGTAACTGAGAAGGAAGCCTGCTCACTTGCAGACTGTCTCAACACCCTCTGTTTATATAGCCTATTCCATGAGCAGGATGCTGACATAATACAGCTTACTGATTTTCCACACTCTGATCCAATCATAACAAAGTCTGCAGATCCTAATTTTGCTTACAAGACCTCTTGCATGCTTATTCATTAGTCCATTGGGGGAGGGAATGTAAAATCAGTTTTCTACTAACCAAAATACATTAAATAATACAGTAAGTTTCAGAATACAGCTTGCACTACACAATTATATTTCCGCTAATATTTATTAAGGTCCTAACAATAAACTTAACAAGAATTTATTATCAGCATGTATGCTGATAGAACCAGAACATTAAGTGTTGTTTCCCGACATACAAAAAATGAATCAAAGAGGGAAATACAAATATTATCCATTTGAAAACCTTGAACAAATTAGGGTTTGAAAGTGCATAATTACAAATGCTGAACTCTTGGATTTTACCCTCTACTGCCTTGCAGGGTATCGTTGGGAGAAGAAAAGGCTAAGGAGTAAACCCTACACAAATCTGGAGTGGAATCCCTAATATGACTGGATGGTGCATTCTATGCCTCTTTCTGGCAACTCCTGCAGCCAAGCTGGTGCCAAATGCATTGCTCTGCTTTTGTTTGGACCACATCAGTGAGGTCAAGATGGGGGCTTGGTGTCTGCACAGCCCAAGACCTCTATACACTTTCATCAGTTCCAACCAGTATGGACAATGGCAAGGGTTGTAGGATGACAAAAGTTGTATTCTAACAACATCAAGTTTCTCATCCATGATCTTCGCAATGAGAAACTATGAAGGAAGATTCTTTGTCAGAGGAAGACCATCTATGTATCCAACTCAAAGTCTACAAGTCACATGAACTAACCTAACAAGTTAAATATCTCTTTGAGAGAGAGATGCCAAATATATTTCTATATATACCAATCCAAGGATCATCTAGTCCAATCCCCTGTAATGCAGGAATCACAGCTAAATAATCCTTGACAGAGGGCCATCCAACTTCTCTTTAAAAACCTCAAATGAACGAAATATAGTGTCCAAATCAAGGGAAGCTATAGTACCACTCTATTTTGCCTTGGTCAGACAACACCTAAAATACTGTGTCCAGTTCTGGGCACCACAAATTAATATAATAATAATAATAATAATAATAATTCATTTACAACCCACCCATCTGGCTAGGTTGCCCAAGCCACTCTGGACGGCTTCCAAGACATAAAAATATGATAAAACATTAAACATTAATAGAAACAATCTGATCCAATATAAAAGACACAGTAACTTTAAACAATTTATATCAAACAAAGCAACATTTAACAATCCATCAGACTGCACAACTTATAAAACTATTTTTTTAAAAAAAAACCCCACTGAATTCTTCTCTTCCCAGCTGCTGCTGCTGCTACTGTTCTCAAAGTCATAGTCTGGGAAAGGCTAGGTGGGGCAAGGCAGGAGGAAACACCATTGCCTGATGAGGAACAGAAAGTCTCCCCCCCACACACACACAGTTCTTCCTCTGGAGCAGCTGTCTTATAAAGGCTTCCAGGGTTGGAGGGTGGGGCAAGACAGGTGGAAAGGCAGTTGCCTGATGATGAACACAAAGTCTCTTTACCCTAAAGTTACAAGAAATGAGATTCCAACTAAACATCAGGAAGAACTTTCTGATATTAAGAGCTGTTCGACAGTGGAATGGATTTCCTCAAGAGACTGTGGACTCTCCTTCCTTGGAGGTTTTTAAGCAGACTAGATGACCCTTGGGGTTCCTTCCCACTCTACAATTCTATGAAGGAGAGTCCATCACCTTTTGAAGTTGTCCGTTCCACTGTCAAACAGTTCTTACTATCTGAAGGTTCTTCCTAATGTTTAACTGGATTTTTCCCAGCAATCAGGCACCATATTTGGCGAAAGAGTTAACACATTCATTTGAGGGGTGGGAAAAAATTAATGGTAGTATGTTTACTTCAAAGAGAGCCATCCCCCCCCCCCCGAGCATGCCCTGTATAATTACAACTGACAAAAACAAGGAGGACAAAGAAAGTGGAGGGAATCAACCTATCAGAAAAACTGGCATAAGCAAAAAAAGTACTAAGAGGCCTGTGTAATGCTGTTTACTTCAGAACTGTTACCATCAGTGATGCAGAGGGAAAGACTGACAAATATCTGCATGCTGTGACCACCCACATTATGGGAAGCACTATGATTAAAGTGAGTTCTGTGTTCCTATATCTGCCAGCACAGTCTGCTCCATGCTGTAATTATTATATCTGCAGTCATCTTTTAATTACTTTCACATGTTGTAGCATGTATCCTTACACTAACTTGAAAAGCAATGAACATTCCTGTTTTTAAGTACATGAACAATTATACAATGTATGCTGGATATTATTCTTTGTTTCAAAAGAAACAAAAATCATTTTGACCAACAATTACTGTATACTGTAACATTATGAAAAAAGCAGTATTTATAAAGTACCTAAAGTTTTCTAGGCACTGTAAAGAGTAACAAACAAAACAAACAAAATGCTCTTTGCCTGAAAACTTACAGCCTAATATGGATGATACAAAAGGAAGAAGACATGGGAAAGAAACAAGACAATTCAGGCACTGTTTCTTATAAGGTAAAGGTAAAGGGACCCCTGACCATTAGGTCCAGTCGTGACCGACTCTGGGGTTGCGGTGCTTATCTCGCTTTATTGGCCAAGGGAGCCGGCGTACAGCTTCCGGGTCATGTGGCCAGCATGACTAAGCCGCTTCTGGCGAACCAGAGCAGCGCACGGAAACGCCGTTACCTTCCCGCCAGAGCAGTACCTATTTATCTACTTGCACTTTGATGTGCTTTCGAACTGCTAGGTTCGCAGGAGCAGGGACCGAGCAACAGGAGCTCACCCCGTCGCGGGGATTCAAACCGCCAACCTTCTGATCAGCAAGTCCTAGGCTCTGTGGTTTAACCCACAGCGCCACCCGTGTCCCTGTTTCTTATAAACGTACATAAATGTTTAATGCCTAGGCAGAATGACCACTAAGGGAGACTTGGAAAGAAAGGCAGCTAATGGTAGCTGGCCCCAGATGGGAAGGAGCTGATACAAGTGGGATGTGCTGTCTAACCTCTTCCTCTGCAGCAGCTAACTGTAATGGCTGCTAATGAATGACAATGAACACTACCAAAGAATTTGCTTTAATGCTTGCATGAATAAGCTACAGCATGATTTAAGCATTTCTTTGATCTCTTTTTATTTTACAAAAATAAAAGACTAACAGTGCAATCCTTCTTTGAGTACTCAGAAGTAAGTCAAATTGCATCAAATAAGATCTACAAAGTGCAAGCCTTTAAATGTTGCTGCTATTTTAAAAACAACTTGCAAACACTGCTAAAAAGAAATATATAAACCCTTTAAATATATACATACATGCCACTACAAGAAAAAAAGTATAAGCAGTGGAATTAACATATATGCGGAGATAGACAAAAAGAAGAGAACCCATGTCTCGCTTCACAGTTCATCACATGAGATGGGCTAAGGTACATGGGGGCAGTGCCCAATACAGCTTAAAATGAAAGAGAATTGCCACTTGGGTCCTCCTGGGCAATAACATCCTCTCATACCCAGTGACAAAAGATCTATACAGTGGTGCCCCGCAAGACGAATGCCTCGCAAGACGGAAAAACCGCTAGACGAAAGGGTTTTCCGTTTTGAAGTTGCTTCGCAGGACGAATTCCCCTATGGGCTTGCTTCGCAAGACGAAAATACCTTGCGAGTCCTGAGATTTTTTTCGCTTCCCCCTTTATCTAATCTGCTAAGCCTTTAATAGCCTTTAATAGCCTTTTAGCAGCTAATCCCCTAAGCCTTTAAGCCTTTAATAGCCGCTAAACCGCTAATAGCGCTAATAGCGCTAATCCGTCAATGGGCTTGCTTCGCAAGACGAAAAAACCGCTAGACGAAGACTCTCGCGGAACGGATTAATTTCGTCTTGCGAGGCACCACTGTACTATGTCCTCTTCCTTGCCTCCACTTAGCGGAAGTTATTATTTTCTTGTTTTTCTGTAACTCTTTCTTGGCTGAGTCCTGGTAGACCTTGCAGACCTTTTCCCACCTGCCCTGACTACAGCTACGAAAGTTGAGGCTGCTGAAGAAGTCAGAGACAGTCTTGTCTGTCTCTTAGTGCAGATCCAGGTAACTGAGCCTGAGGTTCCACAGCCACCACCCACCTTGAACCACCACTGGCAGGATTGGCAGCAACAGTAGCAGATATGCTCCCTGCTTGTGATCATATTTTATTCTCTTGTTAATTATGCCATTTGAAATGTGCATTTTATATCTAACTTCTTTTAGTAATGTTTTCTTTTGAAATGTTTAAGATAAAAAAAAATCTCATTAACTCTGCCGCGTTAAATATGCATTCTGTGCATTGCCACCTAAGCATCTAAACCTACATCTAAACCAGAGTCTATTCTTACACACACCATGGAGACATCTAAGCCTGCTCTGTCTAACCCTGTTTCTAATGGGGAGTATGGAAGCATTTTGGCTAAGCAGTGTGCTTCATAGCTAGGACAGTGTCATCCATTTATAACCATCTAAGAGAGCTGAAGAAAGAACTAGAACAGCTTGCTTCCAAATTAGCTTTCCCAAAGGTTGCAAGATATGAAAAGCAAGGTGGAACAAGGATTACAGAACAGAGCTGGATCTTGTTCTTTCACTCCACAATATTCGATATCAAATTACTTCAGCTAAGTAATTTAGACCCACAAGCTAATAAGATAGCTCTTGTGGTTTGTCCACATTATGATAAAATATGGCAATAGCATTTATGAGATACTCAGTTATCTTAACTTTTGAACCTCTGCAAGAGCGCAATTCATCTTAGGTATGTGGAAGTTTTATTTTAAAAAAACTAAAGCAGAGACATATTCTTACTTTTAATAGCAGCATGTTGCTTGATAGCAACATCAGATTTATTTTTAGTGGATAAACAGTAACAAGAGTTTTCTGTAACCTCATTAAAAGCCTTTGGCGATTAAAGGAAACCTACAGGTGAACAGTACATCAACTATCCAAGCAGCTCAGACTAGATTAGATCAGCATATTAGTTCTAATCTCACTGGCTGTGATGAAGATGGAAAAGTAGACAACTAAGAACTGGGAGTGTTGCTTCAAAATCAAGGCTCTGGGGCCCATAAGCCTATTTTTCCAACTGCTGCAAGTGATCCATTAAAGCCCCAAGAACAGGGCTGGCCAACATAGCACCCTCCAGATGCTTTTATTATTATTTATTAAATTTCTATACCTTCCTTCATCTCAGGATCACAGGGCAGTTTTCAATATAAGAACACAAATATGCATACCATAGTAGCAAACTGTTATGTACTGAAGTTCTCACCCTGGGCCAGCAAGGGGATACTGTAGATAGTTTTCACTCAGGTCCACATATGCAAATAAGGGATTGAAAGTGACGTTCAGTGTTTGGATAGTTACAGAAAGTGTTACAGTTGCGTTGTAGTGGAGCTATATACAAGCAGGCTGGCTGAACCCTTCAGTCAGTTCTGTTCTGGCCTGTGAATAAACAAGAGCTGTTTGAAGAATCGCTGTGTTGTCTGATATGTTCAACCACAATGTAACACAAACAATAACCCTCTCACAAACACATAGTTAAAAAGGTCACAGATTGTTTAATTGTTCAATTGAAATTCCCATCAGCCTCAGATGGGAGTTGTAGTCCATCAGCATCTGACAGACACCATGCTGGCTGCCTTTGCTCTAAAAGAACAATTTCTGGCTTCTTTTTCAGCATTGCCCAAAGAGGAACAAGGCAATACGGTGAATATGTTATCAGTTCTACAAGGTAAGCTTTTTGCCCAGTTGCCCTGCCAATCACACTAAACCTTGTTGTTCAGGTGGTGCAGTTATCTAAACTTCCAAATGTCCATGGTCTTTGCCACTGCAGAAAATTACAAGCACAAGGATTTCAAAATATGAATAATTAGGAGGCAGCCCTTAATTAACATAAATTTGTGAGTCCTATAAGCTCAGGAACAGAAAAACTGGTGGGCCTATCACTAAGTGGAACCTTTTGAACTTCGATCCCAAGCCTCATCCTATAAAGTGAAGTGCTAGTCCTGCTAACTCCAGAAATGTCAAATAATGCTAGGGAAACAAACAGGCTCAGGTGATGAACAATTTAAAAATAAGGCTGTGATCTATATTATACCCTACTCTCCCATAAACAAGATTGGAAGGGCACAGGAATGAGGAATGTTGACACTCCACGCACATTAGAAGTAATCTTCCTTGCTGTCCTGAAGCCTCTTCAATTTCCAAATACTCTTATCTTCAGAACAAAATGGAATGATAAATCCTTAAGGATTTTGTAAATTAATTAACAACACTAGATTTGAATTTAAAGAAGAGCAAGCAGACCTCCATTTGAGCAATGGGAATATGGCACTCCTCTCCCTCACTGCAACCCTCTTCACCCCATTTGAATTCCACTCAAAGTGACCCTCTGGAACAGCATGAGATGGCATGTGCAGGCTGCAGTGAGAAGGAGGAATTAAGAGGTTCTTCTTATCCATACCTGTTACCATTTATCAAATATCAGAAAAAATTGTCATGGCAAAGATGCCTTAAGCTAGATCACGGCAAAGATGCCAGGGCAGAATTAATTGGATTGCATAATGCAACACAAAGCTTAGAACTGCAATTCATCATCATCATCATCATCATCATCATCGTGGAACGCATATAGGCAACCGGAAAGAAGTGCAAATACTATTCCATTTCCTTCCTATGCAGTATTCTGGAAGGAAATGGAAGAGACAAGCACCCTTATATTTGGCAGCTGCTATTACACTGGGAAGCCTGCTTAAAGGATGAAGAAACAGCAGGTTGTGTCATTACAAGTGGACGTTTTGCTGACAAGACTTGAAGACTTGAAGACTGAAACAGGATGTGGCAATAAAGAGGCACATACAGTGGTACCTCAGGTTAAGAACTTAATTCGTTCTGGAGGTCTGTTCTTAACCTAAAGCACCACTTTAGCTAATTGGGCCTCCTGCTGTCACCACACCGTCACTGGGCAATTTCTGTTTTCATCCTTAAGCAAAGTTCTTAACCTGAGGTACTATTTCTGGGTTAGTGGAGTCTGTAACCTGAAGCATCTGTAACTCGAGGTACCACTGTACTAAGGTGTGTCCTGACTCCTAGTCCAGAAAACACCAACTCACACAATGTCACCAAAGGATTTTTTTTACAGCATTTCTAAACCAACAGGGTGAGCCTAATCAGATGATACTTTGGTGATACAATTATATATCTTTGGAGAATGGGGAACAATTTGAGTAAGAAGCAAATGACATCTGAAAAGCCAATAATCACATAATGCATATTTAGGCTCTAAGCTAACAATGAATATATTCAGTTTTTAAAAAAATCATTACAGCATTGGAGACACAGGAACACAGGAGCTGACATTGGCCCATCCAGCTCTGTACTATCTACACTGACTGACAGCAGATCAGCAAGGGGGAATGTTCCCTCCCCGCCAGCTGAGTGGTGCAGTGTTTAAGTCCCTTTGCTAGCAGTGCTCACTGGAGGAAGGAACAACTCCCTCCAGCAAATGCTGCTAGGAGAGGGACTCAGGAGCGGCGGCGGTTTCACCAGTGATATATACTGCTGAGTGAAGCCCACATCGTGGTCTGCTCCTCATACTGGTACTGGGCAATATATTGCCCAGGCCTAATAGACAACAGATGTTAGGCGATCCCTGTCCAGATAGGCGTGCAACTAGGCCACCAGCCAAATCAAGGCCTCCTGAGCCTCAAGCGGCAACAGCAGATCCAGAAATACCCACTGCTTCTGAGGGAGTGTAACCCCATCAAGAGCAGACAACCTCTCATCCATTCAGTCTAGGAAACAAACCACTAACAGTGCATCTGTCATATCTGGATTGAGCTTCAGTTTGTTTTTCATTAAATATTTTTAGGCGCCAGGCAAAAATATTCCCTCTTCAAACAGGCCTTTGGCTAATTAATATTCTACAGCCTTTTAAATGTGTCTGTGGGAAGCAGAGTTATTGTTTTGCTGCTCTACTTATTTACTTTTTTTATCCTGTATTTTATTCTGTGAACTGTCCTTAGATCTTATTCTCTAATAAATAAACAAATAACTGATCCAAGCACCTTGTCCATATCCTCGAAACTTACTAACTGAAATTCATTCAACATAGCAGGACTAGACAGTGCTCTGGACACCTTTCAAGATTTATCTGCTGTAACAGAGTCAAGATCCCAGTGGATACAAACGATTTGATCCTTAAAATGCTTTGCAAACAAGTCACAGCAAGCTACCATCAGTTCTGTAAAAACTCCCAAATGCCTGATGCTGAAGTAACCGTCAGATTATGTTGTTGTTTAGTCGTTTAGTCGTGTCCCCATGGACCAGAGCACGCCAGGCACTCCTGTCTTCTACTGCCTCCCACAGTCTGGTCAGACTCATGTTTGTAGCTTCGAGAACACTGTCTAACCATCTCGTCCTCTGTCGTCCCCTTCTCCTTGTGCCCTCCATCTTTCCCAACATCAGGGTCTTTTCCAGGGAGTCTTCTCTTCTCATGAGGTGGCCAAAGTATTGGAGCCTCAGCTTCACGATCTGTCCTTCCAGTGAGCACCCAGGGCTAATTTCCTTAAGAATGGATCGGTTTGATCTTCTTGCAGTCCATGGGACTCTCAGGAGTCTCCTCCAGCACCATAATTCAAAAGCATCAATTCTTCGGCGATCAGCCTTCTTTATGGTCCAGCTCTCACTTCCATACATCACTACTGGGAAAACCATGGCTTTAACTATACGGACCTTTGTTGGCAAGATGATGTCTCTGCTTTTTAAGAAGCTGTCTAGGTTTGCCATCGCCTTTCTCCCAAGGAGAAGGCGTCTTTTAATTTCGTGACTGCTGTCACCATCTGCAGTGATCAGGGAGCCCAAGAAAGTAAAATCTCTCACTGCCTCCATTTCTTCCCCTTCTATTTGCCAGGAGGTGATGAGCCCAGTGGCCATGATCTTCGTTTTTTTTGATGTTGAGCTTCAGACCATATTTTGCGCTCTCCTCTTTCACCCTCATTAAAAGGTTCTTTAATTCTTCCTCACTTTCTGCCATCAAGGTTGTGTCATCTGCATATCTGAGGTTGTTGATATTTCTTCCGGCGATCTTAATTCCGGATTGGGATTCATCCAGCCCAGCCTTTCGTATGATGAATTCTGTATATAAGTTGAATAAGCAGGGAGACAATATACAGCCTTGCCGTACTCCTTTCCCAATTTTGAACCAATCAGTTGTTCCATATCCAGTTCTAACTGTCGCTTCTTGTCACACATAGAGATTTCTCAGGAGACAGATGAGGTGATCAGGCACCCCCATTTCTTTAAGAACTTGCCATGGTTTGCTGTGGTCGACACAGTCAAAGGCTTTTGCATAGTCAATGTAGCAGAAGTAGATGTCTTTCTGGAACTCTTTAGCTTTCTCCATAATCCAGCGCATGTTTGCAATTTGGTCTCTGGTTCCTCTGCCCCTTCGAAATCCAGCTTGCACTTCTGGGAGTTCTCGGTCCACATACTGCTTAAGCCTGCCTTGTAGAATTTTAAGCATAACCTTGCTAGCGTGTGAAATGAGTGCAATTGTGCAGTAGTTGGAGCATTCTTTGGCACTGCCCTTCTTTGGGATTGGGATGTAGACTGATCTTCTCCAATCCTCTGGCCACTGCTGAGTTTTCCAAATTTGCTTGCATATTGAGTGTAGCACCTTAATAGCATCATCGTTTAAATTTTTTAATAGTTCAGCTGGAATATCATGACTTCCACTGGCCTTGTTATTAGCAATGCTTTCTAAGGCCCATTTAATTTCACTCTCCAGGATGTCTGGCTCAAGGTCAGCAACCACACTACCTGGGGTGTACGAGACATCCATATCTTTCTGGTATAATTCCTCTGTGTATTCTTGCCACCTCTTCTTAATGTCTTCTGCTTCTGTTAGGTCCTTTCCACTTTTGTCTTTTATTATGGTGATCTTTGTACGAAATGTTCCTTTCATATCTCCAATTTTCTTGAATAGATCTCTGGTTTTTCCCATTCTATTGTTTTCTTCTATTTCTTTGCACTGCTCGTTTAAGAAGGCCTTCTTGTCTCTCCTTGCTATTTTTTGGAAATCTGCATTCAATTTCCTGTATCTTTCACTATCTCTCTTGCATTTTGCTTGCCTTCTCTCCCCCGCTATTTGTAAGGCCTCGTTGGACAGCCACTTTGCTTTCTTGCATTTCCTTTTCATTGGGATGGTTTTAGTTGCTGCCTCCTGTATAATGTTATGAGCCTCCATCCATAGTTCTTCAGGCACTCTGTCCACCAAATCTAAATCCTTAAACCTGTTCCTCACTTCCACTGTGTATTCATAAGGGATTTGACTTAGATTGTATCTTACCGGCACAGTGAATTTTCCTACTTTCTTCAGTTTAAGCTTGAATTTTGCTATAAGAAGCTGATGATCTGAGCCACGTCAGCTCCAGGTCTTGTTTTTGCTGACTGTATAGAGCTTCTCCATCTTTGGCTGCAGAGAATATAATCAATCTGATTTCGACGCTGCCCATCTGGTGATGTCCATGTGTAGAGTCGTCTCTTGTGTTGTTGGAAAAGAGTGTTTGTGATGACCAGCTTGTTCTCTTGGCAGAACTCTATTAGCCTTTGCCCTGCTTCGTTTTGAACTCCAAGGCCAAACTTGCCAGTTGTTCCTTTTATCTCTTGACTCCCTACTTTAGCATTCCAATCCCCTATAATGAGAAGTACATCCTTCTTTGGTGTCATTTCTATAAGGTGTTGTAAGTCTTCATAGAATTGGTCAATTTCAGTTTCTTCAGCACCAGTGGTTGGTGCATAAACTTGGATTACTGTGATGTTAAGAGGTCTGCCTTGGATTCGTATCGAGATCATTCTATCATTTTTGAGATTGCATCCCAGTACAGCTTTCGCCACTCTTTTGTTGACTATGAGGGCCACTCCATTTCTTTTACGGGATTCTTGCCCACAGTAGTAGATATGATGGTCATCCGAACTGAATTCGCCCATTCCTGTCCATTTTAGTTCACTGATGCCCAGAATGTCAATATTTATTCTTGCCATCTCATTTTTGACCACATCCAACTTACCAAGGTTCATGGTTCTTACATTCCAGGTTCCTATGCAATATTTTTCTTTACAGCATTGGACTTTCCTTTCGCTTCCAGGCATATCCGCAACTGAGCGTCCTTTCGGCTTTGGCCCAGCCGCTTCATCAGCTCTGAATCTACTTGTACTTGTCCTCCGCTCTTCCTCAGTAGCATGTTGGATGCCTTCCGACCTGAGGGGCTCATCTTCCAGCGCCATAACAAAGCCTGTTGCCTTTGTCCATGGAGTTTTCTTGGCAGGGATACTGGAGTGGCTTGCCGGTTCCTGCTCCAGGCGGATCACGTTTGGTCAAAACTCTCCACTATGACCTGTCCATCTTGGGTGGCCCTGCACGGCATAGTTCATAGCTTCTCTGAATTATTCAAGCCCCTTCACCACGGCAAGGCAGTGATCCATGAAGAGGGTCAGATTATAAACTGCACTATTAAGATCTCAAACGGCATTACTATTAAAACTGTACAAATGTAGAAACAGCTACCCTGAGATACATACAGAGAACCTCCAGCAGCAGCAGCAGCAGCAGCAGCAGCAAAGTCCATACTTACTTTACAAATAAAACTTATCAAATTGTTCAGCTGTGTGTAACCCAGAAAAATAGTAAACATTTCTCACACTGAAGCAATTCTGCCTTTCACACTCCCATTATCACTGAAATTTAAATGACTTAATGCATAGATACACATGCAAGTATTATTTTGTGACACTGTTAAGAAGCAAACAGTTCTCCAAAATTATTAAACTGAGACAGTATGTCAGAAGGATTTTATATGTGACTGAAGAGAAATATTGTTATTGTGCCACTCACGTTTTCACAATATATTCCTGGAAAATAAGGAGTCTGTTCCATGAAAATATAATTATGAATCATGCAGCTCAACCTCTGCATAAAACAGGCTGAAAATGGAACAATGCATGAGTTTAAGTATTTTTCTAGGTTAAGGAGTAAATGCGCAATATGAGTATTTTTAAAAAACCATAAAGGCCTACATTGAAGACTTCAAGCAGTTGTGGATTCATTTAACTAAGAGTGAACTAAAAAAAATTTAAGCTGCACACAAATATTTTCTTTCACTGTCTTTGAATAAAACTTGGATACAATTAGTTTCTCCCAAGACTAGAAAGATTAAACAAAAACAATAGAGCAAAATTATAGAGCATATATAAATTGTTTTCAAAACAAACAAAAGCATTCCTCCAGATTACATTATTTTCCCCTAATTGAAAGTTTGCTTTTATAGTGCTCTCTTGCTTACTGATTTGTAGACTTTGGTCTTCACTTGAAGTTGCCAGTTTAAGATCCACTGTATTAAGAGCTATTAAAATTACTTAAACACCACATCTTTCTTAACATTCAAAAGGAGAGACAGCACAGACTGTATTTTAATTAAAGTAGAACATATTTCAACACAATGTGAATGTAGGATGTCTCTAGAGTGGTTTCTAAAAATGACATACTGTCTCTGTGCTGTAGATGCTGCACCTTTAAATAATCAAGTTAATTTAAAGCAGTCAGGGAGAGGATTCATTTGCTTACTTGTATCCAGCTGTTGGCCTTCAATTCCACAGGGGTCTGTGGTTCACCACTGTACAGACAACATAAGCACCACATTAGAATCTTCTGGCATTCGTCTGCAGATAGCAAACCAAATAAGAATATTAAAAAAAAAATCAAAGCAGAGCAAGAGTAATCTTTTGTTCATGTTAATAAACAAAAAAATCCCAAGGTCTAAAGCCAGTCTTTATCCATATATATATATATATATATATTCAAAGTAATTCCATTCATCCCATATAATAATGGTTTAAACAATGTAGGAACCTGTTAATATTGTTTTTAGCAATGCTTTTCAATGACATACTGGAAGGGGAAGGGGCAGAATTCCTAATATATTGAGGACCTCCGTGCTAACAGCAGTCCCTGAACTATGGGAGAATGATTAACTCATCATATAAACGGTCCAGCATAATGTTTTTTATTACAAGCTATATCAAGTCAGACCAAGCTGGCTTTCTGCCATGTAGATAACTTTATACTCCAGCCAGACAGCTTCTAAATGCAAAACATCTTAGTAGGGCTACTAAAAGACAACTTTCAATCTCGGCTCTTGGTGCCTGTAAGGACTACAGCAGGTTATAATGGGCCGTCTTAGAAAAAAAAGTTAGAAAAAAATGAATATGGGATAGATATTTATTAAAATTATTGCTCAATTTCACCAAGCCTTCACAGCCGTAATTAGAATGAATGCATTTAATAGGGGTAAATAATTTTAATGAGGGAACAAAACCAGAGAGCCCACTATTTCCATTGCTCTTTGCAATTTCTAAAGAGCCACTAGCTAATGTGTTGCATAGTAAAGGATGTTAAAATTAATGAAATTATTCAAGTCATTAGATTGTACAATGATGAAACAATAGTCTTGCTACTATCACCTACAACTAACGTATGGTCAGAGCCAGCAAATTTATAGCCAATTTGCAACTCAATTATCTAAAATCAGAAGTACTCTGGGCATAAACCTAGCCATTCAGTAAAATATTAAGATGCTTCTGGGACTGTCAGTACACATAAATCTATGAAGTAACTTAGACCAAGTTCTCAGGTATTTATATGCTATCTAAGGATGCTTAATTAAGGGTGAGTGATGAAGAAAGTTAAACAGAACCTAAAGCACAGGAGGTGGGGTAGATTATGGCTGGACCACATTATGGCAGTAAATACAACAATTCTGCCCAAAATCATTTTATTGCTTTCAAACGAGTTCACAGGTGGTACCTGTTATCGCATATTAGGTTTATCTCATATTAGCAGCTTCAACAGATGTAACTGGTGGAGAGGGAAAGGGTTCATAATTTCATTTCTGGTGGTCTTGGGCAGTTGTCAGAGTGTTTTGGGGGAAATGTTTATGCTGTAATGTATGCGGTAACAAGATAGTGACGTGATGGATCCCCAAACTAGCTTTACTAGCTTTAATGGTGCTTTCAAAGAGTTATTCTTGAAAACATGTATCATATTTATTCCTGTATATTTAGTAACAGCTGAACAACAAAATCCTCTAGTCTAGGGTTTCCTAAACTTGGGTCTCCAGCTGGTTTTGGACTACAAATCCCATCAACTTTGAACACTAGTCCTGCTAGCTAGGGATGATGGGAGTTGTAGTGCAAAAACAGCTGGAGACCTAAGTTTGGGAAATCCTGCTCTAGACAATTTTCAACAGACCCTTGGTATCAAAAGTTGTGATAAATGACCCTTTTAGAGAACATGAGAATAGTCTTTTGCATTTGCTAGTTCACATTAAACCACAGTCTATTTTAACTATGGTTCAGCATAAAGATAGCTTCATGTGTTCCAGAAAATACAACTCAAGTCTCGGTGGTTTCAATAGGAGTTAAGACATTCTAACTGCAAGTGGATAGGAGGACAATAAGATCTTTTTAAAAATATTGTATCACTTAAGGTATTATTATTTTAGTGCAGGGATGGAGAACCTGTGGCCCTCCAGGTGTTGTTTGATAACTACACTCATCATCCCTGACCACTGCCAATACCAGCTGGGGCTGATGCGAGTTAGAGTCCAACAGTCAATATTCCAATAACTAACAAAATAAAAAAACAAATATTTTTATTTCACAAAGCTGACTTCAAAAACTCACCATAGCCAATGACAAAGGGGTTCCAACAAAGTCTTCCCAATAATTGACCAATTAGTGGAAACTCTTGGATTGAACTAGTACAGTTCTGAAATTAAAGGGAATAGTAAACCAAAAATATTGCATGTCAAAATGTATTGGGGGCCCAAAATAAGAGGGATTTGGAGAAAGTATCTGTAGAGCAGAGCCTCTTCAAAGACTAAGCTTGTATTCCATCATTGTTGAGCTCACCCTAAGAACTCTGCAGATGCTTCCACAAAGATGGCACTTTTTTTTTTCATAATTTTTTTTATTAATTTACAACAAAACAAAACATACATAAAATTTTCACATCCAATTTTCACAAATTGCTTCTTTTCTGGACTTCCTTCAGCTTCTCCGTAAATCATCCATAGTCATTATTTTAAGTGCGCATTTCGTAATTTATATTGTCATTATTTATACCCTTAGTTTCCTTTCTCTTTAAACAATACTTCTTAGTTTTTCACAGTGCTTTTTTAAACCCCTCTAGCGTTATCTGTCCCTCACTTATACTTTCCAGATATTCCACAAATTTCCCCCAGTCCTCGATGAACTTTTGGTCTCTCAGGTATCTAATTTTCCCAGTCAATTTATCCAACTCAGCATAGTCTAACAGCTTCATTCTCCATTCTTCCACTGTCGGTATTTCCTGTTGTTTCCATTTCTGAGCCAGTAACACTCTTGCTGCAGTCACTGCATATTGGAAAAATTTACAGTCTTTTCTCTTTATCTCATTTTCTAATATTCCTAACAGAAAGGCTTCAGGTTTCTTTGTAAATGTATATTTTAGAATCTTCTTCAATTCATTATATATCCTTTCCCAGAAGCCTTTCACTTTCTTACATTCCCACCACATATGATAAAAAGAACCTTCTTTATCTTTACATTTCCAACACTTATTACATGTCTTATACATTTTTGCTAATTTCACCGGTGTTATATACCATCTATAAAACATTTTCATAACATTCTCTTTTAATGTCATACATGCTGTAAATTTTAGATTTTCTTTCCATAGTTTTTCCCAATCCTCAAATTGTATATTATATCCAACATCTCTGGCCCAGTGTATCATTACCGACTTAACTTCCTCATCTTTTAAATTCCATTCTAACAACAGCTTGTACATTTTGGATAGAATTTTGTAATCATTATTTATTATTTCAGTCTGAAATTTTGAATCTTTATCAGCATAACCACCCTCTTTGATATCTTTCCTAAACATTTCATTTATTTGAAAATAATGCAACCAATCATATACATGTTCTTTAACTTGTTCGTATGGTTTCATTTTCCATTTACCCCTTTCTTTAAATAGCAGTTGACCATATGTGATCCAATTGCCTCTCATATTAATTTTCTTTACACTCATGACTTCTAACGGAGATAACCAGTGTGGTACTTTAGGTTCTAATAGGTTTTTGTACCTATCCCATACTTCAATCAAAGGACCTCTGAAGATGTGGCTCTCAAAACCTTTATGGATTTTCTTTTTCTCATACCATAAATACGCGTGCCACCCAAATCTGTTATCAAACCCCTCTAAATCTAACAGTTCCTTATTTTCTAGTTTTATCCAGTCTTTTAACCAGCAAAGGCAAGATGCCTCATAATATAATTTCAAGTCCGGCAGGGCAAAGCCTCCTCTTTCTTTCGCATCTGTTAATAACTTAAACTGAATTCTCGGCTTTTTGCCCTCCCAAATATATCTTGAAATTGCTTATTGCCATTCTTTGAAAATCTTGTTTCCCTTAATTATAGGGATAGTCTGGAATAAAAATAACATCTTTGGACGGCACTTTTAAGATTGCACTGACCATAATGGAGAAACTTTGCGGGACACAAATGCAAATTCAAAATAGGTTAAGCTCCCACCATACACTGGGGGGGGGGGTGGAGAGCATGTGGACAATGTGCCCCTCCCCTATCCTGCATAGAAACTGCTGGCCAAACACTACTCACTTCAGTATTCTTTCTTGCAAGATGCAGTTAAAAACATGTGAGACAGTAACAAGAACAGTGATGGAGATTCAGTGGCCTTCCAGATATGGTTGAAGTCCACCTACCAGCAGCCCCAACTAACATGGTCAGTGGTCAGATTATGCAAGCTGTAGTCCAGCAACATCTGAAGGGCCACAGAATCCCTATCCCTGTTTTAGGACACAAAAACCTCATACAACTCAAGGTTAGAAAGCATGAAATCCACATGTAACGTGAGATAATCACATGTTCATGACACTCAAACATAATCTGTAGTTGACCGAGAGTACCCTCTGGGTGTATCAACATACAACATAGTCCACCAGCTTCCTGCATTAAAGCTTCCTGTATGCCTGAAAGTGCAAGAACACATTGAAGGCTGCAATACAGGGCTGGAGACTTGCACCTGGCCTGCCTGAGGGCAAAAAGAGGTGGGTTTGGTGGCTTCCTTTCCAAAACTGGCAATAATTCCTCATCATAGATCAAACTTCTTTAATAAATATTGCAAGACCTTTCTATTTAGCCCACTTTCTGTGTGTGGCTAGGATGATGCTTATAAAGCGTGCAGTTTTAATAGTTGTTACATGAAGAAAAAGAAATTAAAAATTAACACATGGTTTTGATATATTGCTATTTTCCCTAGCTTTCAAGATGGGATGGATTAAGTCAAATAAATAAAAATAACAAATTATTCAAAATGTCATGCCTCTTACATCATACTATGGATTATACGAAGGATTGAGTAGAAACTACAGTACAAAGAAGTCATGAAGTTTCTGTTACTGTTTGCTATATTCTACATGACATCATACTTAAGTCAGTTATAACCTGAAATTTAACAGACACTAAAGCTACAAAACCTAAACAACGTTTAACCAAATGGAAAGCAGCTTTGCTATAAAAGTAATGCATGGTGTAGTTTATAAACATTCTTACGCAATCAGTCCATTTTTTCCATTTTTGTAGTTTTACTGTCTAATAAACAGAGGCTTTTAAAATGGTACTAACCTAAGATAACATATAAGTAGCAGAAAAGAAAATTGTCACAAGCTGCTGCAATGAATGTTTCAGATTCATCCCATAATTGGAGCTAGGCTTGAGCAAGATTTTGTAGAAAGGTAGAATATAAATTCAACAAACAAATAAATGAATATTGGGCAAATACATAAAATGAATCTGTGGCCAAGTTTCACAAGACATTCATTATAATTAGGCATTTCAGGGGGTGGGAATCAGTTTCACAAACACATAATGTAATTCATCACTGGTCTATAGTTTATTTTTCTATAGTCCATCAGATATTTGACAATTATCTATAAACATTTTTCTCATCTTTTATACTAGTAATGTAGGCTAAATGCTGTAGCAGTAAAATACATTTTCATGCATACAGATATAGCAAAATGCCCCAATGACTAATAAATTGTCTTCTAAAAAAATGGTAAGGAATTCCAGGGCAATACGAATTTTGCACAGGCGCAACTAGAAATAAGAAATATTTGCTTGTGATCCAACGATGGTGGCCTGACATTTCTTTGAATGCCACATCAGTAGGGTTACTGTGTCAGCAGACTTCTTAAGATTTAAGAGATAAGTTATAGTATTGCATGTTAAGAGTCTTTAAATAATCCAATTTATGACCTGAAAACCAGAATCAAATACTTGTTTATTTTAAAGTATTTTTAAAAAAGGTTACTGTGTTGAGTAGGAAATCTCATGTGAGAACATAACCAATCAAAAAGAAAAAGCTCCTTTCACAATAAATCAGGAACACAGGAAACACATTCCTGTTTGCATTACCTGTGGCTGTTTCACCAATTTGCTTCTGTGATCCAGCAATACATTAGGTCAATGCTACAAGGCTCTCTGCTACTGTTAGCTTTCTGTCTTGTCAAAATGTGGGGTGCAGAACGTTTCTGTAACAGTCTTCAAAACAGTTCATTCTTCCAGTTAATTCACTTACCATATGTTTCAAAGCTCCATAAATCTGTAGTAGAAATTCCTGTAATTCAGGCAAGTGAAGGCAGACATCTTGCTGAGATTCTGAAGTGCTTGTCTGACCCCATTCAATAGTCTTGTGCAGCCAAAACTCGAAGCTGAATTTAGTGACTGTAGTATCTTTGGCCATCCCCTCACCTTGATAGTTAAAAAGAAGTATGAGAAAGCTCTTCTGTGATAAAAAACCAGTAACACTTTGCTAACATTTAATACATGATGAGGTACATGATTAAAAATATTTGCAGTTTGCATGATGCATGTGAATCTATTGGCTCCTAAAATGGAACATTTCTACATTTCTGTGTAGAAGTGGAAGAAGAAGAATCATCACAATATATTAAAAAAAACTGTTATCATGTTCCTGCATTTTTACTATTTTCTAATCAATAATTTGCTAAACCAGCAGTGAAACAGCATTCTGGTATGAATAGTTAAGGAAACAGACACACACAGAGGCATGTACAAACTGTAACCTTTGGGAAACAAATGCACAGTCCGAATTCTACTTTTTAAACTTAAGACACCCTTGGGCTGCAATACTTCACCCAGAAACCACATGTTTGGAACAAGAGCAATACTGTTAATTCCCAGAATTCACAAATCAGAAGTCTTTTAAAATATCATAAATCACAACTTTCCATGTAAGATACATATCTGAATGTTCTATGACCACATCAGAATTCAACCACAAATTAAATGTTTCACATGGAGAGAAGGCAGGTTATCCTTTTTCTTCCTAGAAACTGCAATAACCTATTCAAAGTGCTGATTTTGACCTATAAAGCCTTTAATGGCTCGGAACACCTCAAGGACCGCTTCTTTCCATATAAACGTACCCGGACCCTGAGATCATCTTCTGAGTGAGGCCCTTCTTCATCTACCTCCTCCTCAAGAGGCCCGGAGGGTGGTAATATGAGAACAGCCCTTCTCTGCTGTGGCTCCCCTTCTGTGGAATGCTCTTCCCAGAGAAGTTCGCCTGGCACCTTCATTCTACACCTTTAGGTGCCAGGCAAAAACGTTCCTTTTTAACCAAGCCTTTGGTTGATTTGATTGACATCCTATTCCCTTTCAAAATGTGGGTTTTTGAGGGGAGCAGGGTGTTATTGGGTAGTTTTTATTTTGATTATGTATTTTGTGGTCTTATATTTTGATTTTATTCTGTGAACCACCCTGAGACCTCCGGGTATAAGATGGTATATAAGCTCAATAAATAAATTAATAATAATAAATTCACTTTCCATGCCCCCCTAGGGCAGATTTATTTGTTTATATGATGGTGATGTGAGATGTGGGAATACTCAGGATTTTTGTTGTGGGGCAGGACTTTGTATGGGGGGGCAAGGACTTTGTGAGAGGGGCAGAACTGATGTGATTGGTGAGTTAGTTAAGTATTTTTATTGTTTTACTTGATCTAGGGGGGTCAGCTGCCCCCCTTGGCTACACCCATGATGTGAGGATCCCCCAACAAGTTGCCATTTGGTTCATGACAGCCAAGTTTCTCCAACACGTAAGATCAAGATCACAGCTAACGCTAAGCCAAAAAAACTTCTAAGATGTGAGCCAGAAAGTGACAAAGATTGTTCATGCCATTGGAACTAAAATCTGTATTGCAGAAAAACCACAAAAAAACTATGCCACATGGTGGAAATTTATTGTATTTACCAAGGATACAGGGCCGACGAATACTCTGCCAGTTGTATAAGGTGTAGTAGTACAGTAGTCTACACTCGTTAAGGTGTAGACTACTGTATTACTACTACTGCTACTACTAGCGAGGGCATGTATACAAATCAAGGTATGACTCAAGACAAATTAATGTGGTATGTATGTGTGGCAAAGAAAAGGAGCTTGGAGTTGCATTTTAAGTAGCAAGATGGAAAAATCTGAAAAGCAAATTAAATGAGAAACCTGAGAGCCAGTTGCCTGAGAGCTCCTAGCTCTTAAAAAAAAAGTAAACAGGGCCCTCCAATTCACATTGGGGCCATCATACTTGGGGCTCGTGGGTCTTTTAAAATCTATTCACTCTTGCAGATACCCATCCACTCAGGTGCCATTTGCTTTTTTATAGAAAACTTATGGATAAAATGATTTTCCCTAACCAAGAAACTAGGAGCTTAAGGGGCATGATGATATTTACACTGGGGAAAAACTTAACAAAGCCCTCCCTAACATCCCAATCTCAGAGGTGAATTGGAGGTGCCTAACTAAAGATACAGGAGATCTGATCACAGTTCTCAAACACTGCTTAGAACAGGGGTCAGCAAGGCTTACCGGACAACACCCAAAATCACATCTGCGCATGTCCGCAGCGCAAGAAATCACTTCTATGCATGCCCAGATGCCAAAAATCGCACCTGCACAGAAGCAATTTTTTGTGTCTGGGCATGCACAGAAGTGATTTCCGGAGCCGCAGAAGAGAGTCCCCGCGCCTTGCTGATTTAGTGCAGCACACAGCTCGGTTCGGGGGCAGCTCATGGGCCAGCTAAGCAACCCTCATGGACTGCTTCCAGCCCATGGGCCTTAGGTTGCTGACCTCTGGCTTAGAAGAAGCAGTGACTGAAGAGCATGCTTTGGGGGCAAACCAATACTTCTTTATAGATTACTGCTGTTGATACCTGGGTGTCATGACCCAGGTGCAGACAACACTACCTCCCTAGATTCCTACCTGGGGTAGTGGGGAAGTGGGGTGCATAAACTTTATGCTCTCTAGCTTTTTGGCTATTAGGAGTAGGGACAAGATCAAAGGGACAAGAGAACTAGGGCAGGGTTCCACATCCTATGAGGTGAACCCCCCCTCCATATACTGTACCCTATAGTCACCACAGGTTATCTTTTTGTGTGAGGTTAAACTTTGATACGTGGAGAGTCAGGCAGAAATTGAACAAATAAGAAAGATTTATTACAAATACAACAAGACACTAAACACTGTATTTCTTTCTAAGCTCAGAGACTCCTTTCTCTAGCTGTAGACATTTTCCTCAGAGTGGATGTTACACACAGATCAGAACCAACTCTCCAGCTCTCGCTCTCTCTAGCTCTTCTCCTCAAACTATCTCCCTATCTGAACACTCTCTTAGAAACAGAAAAAGTGCTGTCTCCACCCCCCACTGGCTAGCTGTCTTCATAGTCAATGAGAGAGGAGCTCCAGAACCCTGCTGGAGTTTCAAAGTATCACACCACCAGATTCTGGTCTAGCTCAGCTGTCTGTCACATTGTACCAGTTTCATTAGGTGCGAGGCATGATTTGTAGACAGCCCTGGTGAATCAACAGGAGAAGGGAATATTTATATTCAAAAATTTGTTGCTGCCAGAAAAAGAAATAGAAAGCAACACCTTACTTAGCAACCTATATGTAGTTGCCAATCTTGACGTTGGCTGAGTTTTTTTTAGAGGTAGAGAAACAACAATAACAGAAAACAGTATTTTTCCATACACTTTTATGAATTTGGATACTACTCAAAGTGGGGAAAGCAACAATTCAACTTGGTGGCTAGTGTTCAAATAATGTCTGCATTATATATATATATCAAAGGAAGTATACACAAAGGCCATGTTGTTTTCATTGCAATTACTATTAAAGTTTTTTATGGATCTGGATTAAGTCAAACTATAGTTCCTATTCTTTATTAGTCAATTATTGGAGGGAAAAAAGATAATGAGCATTCAGTTGCTTAAGGGCCATTGCAGCAGTGAAGAACAAAAAGCATACTTATTTATCCTATAAAACATGGTGCTTTGTGCGATGGAGGCTGCAGGTGGCAATTGGTGCGACGAAGGGTGGTGGCATAAGAGAAGCACCTCTTTTTCTAGAAAAACAGCCCTGATTCTATGATTCCTTGCAAAGAACAAAATGCACCATGAATAATATCAAAACTGCATCAATCAGAAGCACAACTAGTGCACAGGTGTAATATGTAGACCATAAACTCTTCACAAGTAAAACAATCCTTTAGATGTGTCTCAAGCAGTTCCTCTAACTGAAGTGAATTAGTTAAAACTAGACCTTCAAATTCTTACCTTCTTAATGCAACAAAATTTTAGAGATTTAACACAGTGTTCTATAAAATGTATAACCAATGGTGCATGAAGCCTCTGGGTCCTAATACAACTTTTGTGTTCTCCTATCATGAGCTTAATCTTTCTTGTGGTCAGGGAAACAATTATATGCACATTGAAAAAGGAAGGTCAGGTGGCTGGCTCTATGGACTTAATGAGGATAAAGAATGGATATCTGTTATTTTATAATTCAAAGATATAATCTTCCAAGGAGTTATGCCGCACTTCTTGCCATTATGGCTATTACACTGTATTAAGATATATGTGAATGGAATATTGATTATTGCTGTCACTGGGAGTCTTTACAGAATACATGGAAATTATATGAATCTATGGAATAGAGCAAGAAACTTGATTAACACTGTAAGGTCAGGTGTACAATGGAATTATTTTGGTACTTTAATAGCATATAATTTTACACGAGTTCACAGAAACAACTAATAACCACTGAGTCCTACAATTTTACATTAGCAAATATATACATTTATAAATTGAGATAAGATTAGATGTTGTTTTTTTAACAGATGATTGCAAATTCTTGCAATCTGGATATAATTACTTTTGATCTTGACACAAGCAAGGGTGATATTGGGATATAATTTGGTGAGCAGAAGATAGCTTTTAGTTTAACAATTCAAAAAAAATTGGCTGATTTGGTTTTTCATTACACATATTTTCCCCAAAGGAATGTGTGTGTTTTTGGATAATCTGAACTCAGCATAAAGGATGCTGAAAAAAGCCAAGGCCACTGAAGAAGGCTAATAAGCCCAAACACAGTTGGCTTTTCAATTATCCAGAAAATCTGAATGAATAACATTAAGAACATCTTACGCTAGCATTTCAGCCATATAAAGAGGATGTCGATGCTTTATATAAAAAGCAACACTATAGTGAAAATCGGTTTAGCATTATGACCTCCATGTTTTAGTAAACATATTCTCCAAATGTGATCTTTTACCTGTCTCTCAACAGTCTCAGTAATCTGCAACTGGTCCAGGGAAATATGTTAATTAGCCATTAGAGATTTGCATTGTTTAGCTCTGCTACTAATTTGCAGCTGCTCCACTAGGCATTTTTAAGGAGTCTGTCATTTGACACTGTCAGTTTTATGCACCTGAACTTTAGGGCTGAGAATCCAAACTTTGGTATTCAACTAAGCACCACAGAGGATGCACAGTAATGTTCTCAAAAATGTATTTTCTATCACCTCAGAGAGCTTAAACTATCCATCACCTGTAAAAACTTTTCCTTTATATATTCTCAACAAGGGAGCTATCAGATACCCTCCTTTGCTACAGGTGAAATCTAAAAAAATTAACATATTAAAAATTAACATGGGATAGTAGTGAACTGAGTTTTACTCTGAGAAGGCGCACTGAAATTAATATGACTAAGTTGGGTGAATTAATTTCAATATGTCTACTCTGAGTAAACTTAGTTGAATGCCACTCATTGTCTTTTTCATAAAGAAGGCGTATGTGTGTGCTTTAGAGAGGGAAAGACAGAGCATTTCTATCACTGCACATGGTGCTTTACAAAGTTATTTACCACAGGAATTCTCATGCTAAGTGCTCCACTTGAATTTGCTATGTGCTGAGGTTTAAGGCAACTTAAACAGATATCCAAACAGTAAATTATATTTACTATCAATACCAGTTCTGTTAGCACCAGAGAGTCTAAGGTCTTGCAACGATAAATTAAAAAAACAAAAAGCAAGAGACCCAAGGGAACTATGACTTACTTTTGAAAATAAGGCCATATTCACAAACAGCTTCTGGATAGTTGGCAAAAAGAGACTTAAAATGCACTTTACTGTATATGACATCTTAGTAGTAAATGAACATGGAAACCAATGAGGAAATCCCTTTTTCCATTTCTTCATTATAACTTTCTAATATACCTATATACTTCCCAAGAGGCCAAGAAAAGCAATGATTTCACTCATTCCATGTATACCTCTCAAAGAAGTCTGCCACTTCCCTAGAGGGAAGAAAAGAATTTCTGCATTACCAAAACTAAGTGAAATCAAGGAAGGAACTCAACACTATGCCTACAGGCTGTTTAAGCAGCACACTGCTTAAAACAAACTCCACTCAACCTTGATGGCACTCAAATGAAAGAGACCATCTGAACTACAAAGTCTTTAAATTCTTTAAAGACTAGTTTAAAGACTAGTTTCAGAAATCCCAACACTCAAGGTGTCGTCCCCACCCCCCCACCCCCACCCAATTTTCAGAGAGTTAGCATTCTAATTTAGTCTGGCAAACTACACACTACATGCAAGCTTGTGTCAAAGAAAACTGTATTTTGATTAAACAAAAAAGCTTTGCAAGTGATTTTGAACAGAGAAACAGTTGGGGAAACACCACCATTTCCCTACTCCAAATCCACACCCCTAAGCTGATTTCCCATTCAAATCTTTTAAAAAATAGGTCCATTGAGTGAATTCTGGCAAAAAACCAATTGAGAAGGGTGATTGGGAATAGGGAATGGGAAGCAATTTTCTACCTCCTCTTGAACTATGAAAAAACAAAACATCACAACTGGAAGAAAGCAGTGAGGGAGAGGGAAGGAGGGAGGGAGGGAGAGGAATGAAGATTGATCTTTGCTTAATAATTTCTATAAGATTAAAAATAGCAAAATGCCTTTAATAACTTAAGAGTGATAAAATATTTCAGAACAGTATCCATGTTATTTGCAGAGCACAAATCAAAAGACAGGAGATCCCAATTGTGTGTATAATAATAATAATAATAATCATAATAATTAATTTTTACCCCGCCCAACAAAATATTAAAACACAGTAGTCTGTTAAACATTAAAAGCTTCCCTAAACAGGGCTGCCTTCAGATGTCTTCTAAAAGTCTGTTAGTTGTTATTCTCTTTGACATCTGGTGGGAGAGCATTCCATGGGAGGGGGGTGCCACTACCGAGAAGGCCCTCTGCCTGGTTCCCTGTAACTTGGCTTCTCGCAGCGAGGTAACTACTAGAAGGCCCTCGGCACTGGACCTCAGTGTCCAGGCAGAACTATGGGGGTGGAGACGCTCCTTCAGGTATACTGGACCAAGGCCGTTTAGGGCTTTAAAGGTCAGCACCAACACTTTGAATTGTGCTTGGAAACGTACTGGGAGCCAATGTAGGTCTTTTAAGACCGGTGTTATGTGGTCTCGGCGGCCGCTCCCAGTCACCAGTCCAGCTGCCGCATTCTGGATTAGTTGTAGTTTCCGGGTCACCTTCAAAGGTAGCCCCACATAGAGCGTATTGCAGTAGTCCAAGCAAGAGATAACTAGAGCATGCACCACTCTCGTGAGACAGATAGGGTCTTAGCCTGCATACCAGATGGAGCTGGTAAACAGCTGCCCTGGACACAGAATTGACCTGCGCCTCCATGGACAGCTGTGAGTTCAAAATGACTTCCAGGCTGCACACCTGGTCCTTCAGGGGCACAGTTACCCCATTCAGGACCAGGGAGTCCTCCACACCTGCCCACCTCCTGTCCCCCCAAAACAGTACTTCTGTCTTGTCAGGATTCAACCTCAATCTGTACTGAGTCCACTCCTGTACTGTTAAATGTATATGGGGCCTAACTCATACCTTCTGCTTATGGAGCTTGGGAGCCGAGATGGCAAGCACGGAATCCCACGTCCCCTGTATTCAGTGAACATGTTTTGAAGGTGCAAACAGAGCTAGAATAGTTCTCTTGAAAAGGCCTTTTCAGTCTTCCAAACGAAAGCAAGACTGTGAAGACTGACTTGATGTACCACACAGATGCTGAGCATGAAAACAATAGAATCCTGCTTGTGCTGCCCCAGCAGCAGCTGAAAAAGGCACCATAGGATCAGGTTGCCTGACACATTAGACCTTAACCGAGTTTGTTAGCATATATTATAGATGGGAAAGGTCACGTAACCTTTGCCATTGACAATGAAATACTATTCCCTCTGGTTTATTTTCAGTTACAATTAAGTTCCTCCAATTAATGCCTACACTACTGCAAGGGTAGACTCCTCTCCTCCCCCATATTAACTGTGACCGTTGAGTCTGTCTTCCTATTACATTTCATGCTGCTCCAAAATTACCACTGACTGAGGAGTTCTAGACAATTATAATTCTCCTCCACTTACTCCAGCTGCTTTCGGGGAGAGAACAAAATAAAGCCTTGCTCCTGCCTCAGAACCACCCAGTCAAGTGCTTGTTGTTCTATACTTTTAGGAAGTTGGGAACCCTGTGGAGTTTAGGCATGGGGTATTTGTTACATCCTTCAGAGGCTGTAAGCAGCATTTCTAACATGGAACGGATTAACTTTATTCCATCAAGTAAGCTATCTGGATTAGTGTCTGAATTGTAACATTATAGTCAGTAACTTTTGTCATGTTTTAAAGGCAGTTCCCTACAGTACACCCAAAAGCTACAATCATGGGTTGCATAGGATACAGAGACTATCTGTAACCTCAGATATTGTAAAAGCCTTGAGTCAGTAAGAGAGGATACAGAGGAGCACACTAAATTAAATCAGCAAATGAAGTTTTTCAAACTTTACAGAAAAGAGTCCACAAAGTAAGCATCTTCAGAGTGACAGTAGTAAGAAAATAATAATCCTCAAAATTAAAAGCAAAGAAAACCATTCCTTTGATGGGGTCTCCTTTATCACATTCCAGTTTATTTTAAAGCACTTTATGATGCATAGGAAAGAACATAAAATCGAAACGATATATTAACATGTAGACTGAGCTTCCTTTAATACCAAGAACACGAATCAGCTTCATGTGTTTTTGTACATTAAAAATGTGAATAAAGAATCTGAAAAGCAGTGAAAATGGGAAAGCCAAATTTTCTAAGGTTGCAACACATGCATCTCTAGTCTACAACACAAGAAATGCATTTGAGACAAAATAAAGTAAAACAAAATAGTAAAACAAAAAAAAATCGTTTATTATAAATATACTGTTTTAATTAAAATGCAAATTTTATTGAAGAATAAATGTTAAGTTGTTAATAGTAGTGAAGTCCACTGAAATTTATAGATGGAAAGTACTATGTAACTGAATGAAAAAAGTGCCAAGAATGAAGTACAACATTTGAAGTCTTCCCTCTCAGTGCAGGAGCTATACTAGGATCAGAGGCAACTGACGCCTCTAGGTATCCGCCAAGATCAATGCTGCCAAAACCTAACACTAAGCAACTAAATACTATGTAAAGTCTACATTGTAGTGTCTGAAAATAGCCAGAAAATAAAAAGCATTCAAGCCAGAAGTGGTAAGATAGATAACTATGCACCTGCAAGACAGTGTTCCTCCTTTGAGTACAGGAACAACCCAAAATAAAAAGGGTGTTAGTATATATTGCTGGGTACTCCTTAAAAGAAGGGTCCAAGGTCCCCCTGGATGTACACGTTTCCTCAATCCAATGGCATTTACACATAGCACCTTCAATATTTGTTTGAAGTCATTAAATAGCTGCCCCACGGAAGAACTGAGTCTAAGAAATAGCAGCCTACTCAAGTCTATATGTGAATATATAGCCAGTCAGGGAACTAAAGCAAGATGTCAAGTAAAGGTAAAGGGACCCCAGACCATTAGGTCCAGTCATGGCCGACTCTGGGGTTGCGGCGCTCATCTCGCTTTATTGGCCAAGGGAGCCGGCGTACAGCTTCTGAGTCATGTGGCCAGCATGACTAAGCTGCTTCTGGCGAACCAGAGCAGCCCAAGGAAACGCCGTTTACCTTCCCAACGGAGCAGTACCTATTTATCTACTTGCACTTTGACGTGCTTTCGAATTGCTAGGTTGGCAGGAGCAGGGACCGAGCAATGGGAGCTCACCCCGTCGCGGGGATTCGAACCACTGACCTTCTGATCGGCAAGTCCTAGGCGCTGTGGTTTAACCCACAGCGCCACCCGCGTCCCTGAAGCAAGATGTACTCTCTGCCAAATACCTGCATTATCATACAACTTTTGTTTCATCTTTACTGGTGGATCCTGACCTTAGAGTTATGATTGACCAATCACTGCACCTCAACCTTTGAGTAAGACCTAGATAAGTAATTTTATGTTTTCTACGCTCAGAGAGTCCCTGCCACATACAAAATATGAACACAGGATATATCCACTATACCAATCTTGCTGTCAGCAAGAAAGGTTCTGCTCTTCAGAACCTGGTACAAGCTGCAGTCTAGATCTCTTTTTGAAAGGGTTCTTAAACCTTTCTTAAAACTCAACCTTAAGAATAAAACTCAGTGCCCCTGGTTGGCAGCTGTGAGAACAAGATGCTGGACTAGATGGACCACTGGCCTGATTCAACAGGCACTTGCACAGATAGTACAAGTATTCCGCATTCCTATACTGCAGCGTTTCAGTTCTTAATGCCTTTTTGTAATCCTGTGGCACACTGTGGGGAAATGGTCGGTCTCTGAGCCATTTCTACTGCTACATTTGGTCTCCCTTTAGTGAGCAGTCTCACTCCTAAGACAATTACTATCTCTTTGGATGTTATCTCCTTTTAGAGTTAAGCCAAAGGCTTTCTTTGGAAATGCACCTGCTACTGGCCACACAGGAACAAGGCTGGTGCACTGTCAAGTCCAATAGGACAGACTGCACATAGAATCAAAGAATTGTGGAGTTGGAGGGGATCACAACCCCCTACAATGCAGGAATCATAGCTAAAGAATCCCTCATAGATGGCCATCCAACTTTTGTTTAAAAAACTCCAATGAAGAAGAGTTCACCACCTTCTGTGGCTGCTAACTTTTGTGTTCCTGGCTTGCTTATTTGAGTGCCATGAGTTTCGCAGGCAGTTCCAGCAGTAAAGACAGTCGTCTTATTTCTCATCCTTTTACCACCTTAGTTATCTCTTCTGAGGGATGCCTGAGGGCATTAACCTTTGGGGGCATATGCACCAACCCATAATGAGCTCACTCAACATATTAGGTCAAAACTCAACCAGATGCAGTGTAGTGTTAACATTTGTGTGTTTTCAATTTGATGTAGATTGTGTACAGATGGATGGTATTAGGCAGCTAGTGAACTATTATATTAACAACAACATTTATTTGCTGGCCTTTCCTCTTTCCAGCCCATGCCCATTGTCAGCTGCCAGAAATTCTCTCTCTCTCTCCCATCAATGGATCCTCCCCCCTTTCTCATTCAACAGTTACTGCAGTTTTACACTTGGGGATTGTATTTCTGAGCCTCAGCAGGCAAGCTCAGCACCTATTTATTTTGGATTGTGGCCATATCCTTTGTGGCATGGGAATATAAGCAAAATCTAGAGCAATGAAAAGCTGGTGATCATCAGCCTATTAAGTTGGTGACCTGTCTCTATTATTTTGTTGCAACTAGTTCTGCCATGTTCTTGTGGATCTGCACATGCTAAAATCTGGACAAAGCACCCAGGTTGAAGCCATAACCTCTCCTTTGGCAGTGTTGCACAATTTGGACTAGTGCCTATGGCAGTTTCCTGGCAACTGCATAATCTGGTGTGAGATGTTAGAGAAAATGGAATGGTAGGGTGGGGGGCACATTGCCTCAAAGGAGTGGAGAAAAGCAAACAGGCCATTGCACTTCTTCATAAATATCTGTGGCAATGGGATGATTCAGCATTTGGACAGTTCTCACAAGCTTCCTGATCTCTATTGGCCAGGCAATGTTCACCCCTCAAACATGGACAATGACATTTGGCTGAAGGATATTCATTCACACTTCCCCAACTAATCAATGCAGCTGCACTAGTGAAACGGCGTTCAGTTGTTTGGCAGTGGAGTTAAAAGAGCTGTCTTCCTCCTGTAGCACTTGAGTGACATTTTATGCCATTCCACTTTTCCCAGGTTCCCCAACTATAGGCTGAGGTTCTTCTGTCAAACAGGCAGGCTCTCAACACCATGTGTGCTCCTGTCCTTAGGCAACCAAATTCATTGACGCTGTAGCTAACAAAATATTAGGCTGTTTTAAACCCAGTATTGTTTTCTTTTCCCTCACTTCAGTAGGATTCCTGCTAGGGCTGGGTGATATCTGGTTTTCAACATCTTGATATATCACCAGCTAAACACTGCAAGATACTGACATATCACAAAGTCTAAAATAAGGATGGAGCTATGTAGAGGCATTGGCTGGCTTTACCGTTTTTCCCTGCATGACAAACACACACCATGATTCATGATATATTTCCAGGTCAAAAATTATGAAACCAATATGACAATATGAACTTCAAACAAGTTTAGGTCATTATACTGATCTAGCACCCATCCCTAATTCCTGCTGCAGGCAGAATTTTTTTTTAAAAAAATAAGATCTACACACCTACTCCAGACTAAGTACTTTCCAGCCAAATGTTTCAAATCTCCTTAATTTCAGTTGGAAGCAGCAAGACAAACTTAACTCTCCTCACTAACATCAGTTGCACTTACATGAAAATATTCTTTAAAATGAGTGATTTAAAACCTGATAATTACAAAATGAATTAAGCATGTCAGTAAAACTATTTCTACAGTTACAATAATTTTCCTAAATAAATTCTCTAAAAACTCCATGATCTGGAGATAGAAAAAGAATTATGAGATAAAAGACCATTTAAAGATGATTTAATTAATTCAGGATAAAACTATAACTAAACCATTTATACAGTGTACATCAAATCCACATTTCAAAAGTATATTTTCTGTGCAGAAAAATAATGAAGGAAAATAATGGATAATAGAGAAACAATTTTTTCTAAAATAATCTCCTTTATGAAAAAGTGGCTTAAGGACTACAGTGTTTGGGTTTTTTATAAAATAAAATAAAATAAAATAAATGCCAGTCCACAAGAGGGCAAAAACTGCAGTATTTATTTAGCAAATCTGTTTCTATCCAAAAGATGGCAGTGGCAGATCAATCATCAGCCTGTACTGTATATTGCCAACAAAATTTGTGTGGGGGGAGAGAAAAATTTAAGAAACCCCTTCACAATGTTACTGTTGCTGGCAAGATAATAACTTCCCAAACTTCTCTTAAATAATTGTTGTACTATGGAAGGGATCACTGCCACCAGCAGAACATTTGAAAATACTAAAACCCCAAAACACTGCAAAAGATCAAAATGGGGAAAAACAATGACCACACAACATTCAGGGAACAATTCTATCATTCTTTAATCATAAAAATAAAGAAATGGAGTTTCTGCTTTCTGAAAACTAATCTTTAGCTAAAACAAAAATAATAGACTGAATTACACCATTAAGGTTACCTCTGCTGAAGCGATTCTTGACATCAACTTTAATCTGTGAATCAAAATCACCAAACGCGCTCATTTTGTTTATTGAGGCATCTTACTTTGCACCTGCAGATCAGCAAAATATACCAAAAGTTACACATTACAAATATAAATAGTCTTCAAAATTAAAGAAATTGTTGATATATCTAGTCTTTTTGCTTCCTTTGCAGGCCGATCCACAGAAGTTTCACTTACTAAATAACTGTGTCAGGTTGTTATTAAAAGTACAAGAGCAGTCCCCCACCACCACCACTGCTCAAAAGGCTGACAACACACCCACATCCACCTGTTTGCAAATGAGATAAATGTAAAGTGCTGCACTTGGGATGCAGTTTATTAACTTACAGCATTCATTACATTTTACAATATTTCAGCTCTCCTTTCCTATGTCATATTAATGTTGCAGGACATTCCCCACTAGCCCCTAACAACCAGCCTCGAACAGGAGCCTTGTTAGCAAAGGCTAAAACTGGTAACAGTGTGGCAAGGAAAGCTATCTTCGCTACCTACCCCCCAAAAAACCCTCCCCCATTGTGCTCAGTTCTGATTCTGAACCTGAATGTGTTATATAGAAGGCAGAGGGGAGCCTTTTAGTGTGGGAACCAGCACCCTTTCTCCTCCTGAAACCTCACCATATAGTGCATGGAGATAAGTTCTTTAACTTTGCAGCCTTTTCCCCAGCACCAGGGTACAATGAACTTTTTAGGGGCTCAAGTAATTCCCTCACATCCCCATTTTCTCTCAACATTTGACTTTAAAAGCCACTGAGCATGATGTGCCAGTCCATTTTCAGTGGCTGTTTTTCTTTTAATTTACTAACTTACTACTTTCCAACATACCTGGGGACTCCCAACTATGCAGGTATCTCCTCTTAACTGTGGGTGGCCTTGTTGCCCTGCCCAGCTGACAGGCACCAGATCAGCAGAATCAGCTTTAGATGGAATGATGCTCCTGCTGACTATATGTTGATGTGTGCTATCATTCACCATTTTAAACAGTTCCAAGACCAGTGGGACAGATGTCTGCAAGAGGACAGACGTGTACACGAAGACTGCAAATATAAGCTCCTTGGAGAGCAGGAAATGAGTATGACACACACTACTTGCCTTGAAGCAACACCTCCAAGCTCTTAAAGAGCCAGCATTTAAGTATATACTGTACAGTATATGAAAACCTTTCGTGACAACCTACACAGTCATGAAATTCCCTCTTCTATACACCTAACAAGGGTACAGGAGCCCTAAGTCTGACTAGGCCTATAGCAGTCTTGTATGTCATATTAGTCTAGTACAGGGGTAGACAACCTAAGGCCCGTGGGCCACATCTGGCCCAATCACCTTCTAAATCCAGCTCATGGACGGTCCGGGAATCAGCGTGCTTTTACATGAGTAGAACGTGTCCTTTTATTTAAAATGCAGCTCTGGGTTGTTTGTGGGGCCTGCCTGGTGTTTTTACATGGGTAGAATGTGTGCTTTTATTTAAAGTGCAGCTCTGGGTTATTTGTGGGGCATAGGAATTCGTTCATTTCCCCCAAAAAAATATAGTCCGGCCCACCACATGATATCAGGGACAGTAGACCAGCCCACGGCTGAAAAAGATTGCTGACCCCTGGCCTAGTAGCAAGAGACAACCAATAATTCCATGCAAGCAAGTGAGCAGGGTGGCAGAGGAAGGGTGGAATGGTTCCCCTGTCCCATACACAACCAGTAGATAATCTGGCAGGGGGAAGTCTGCTCCCCTACACCGTGCAGAGAAATGCAGGTTACTGCAGGAAGTGTTCTACAGAACACTCCATACTGCTGGCTGAGGAAACCCCAGGGTGAAATCTTCCTGAATCAATACATTATCTTGTCAGTAGTACACCCTGGCAAGCTACCCAGGCAGCAATGGAAAGCAGCAGCAGAGCTGGGGATCACCATTTACATTTCCCCACAATGCCTCCAAGCATTGAATAAAATACAGGCGGGGGGGGGAGGTAAGCCCGGCCCTGCACAACTGATTGCATGACACAGCGCGCACACACACCATTTGAATGGCAATGCCCATTAACTTTGGGGGCCACGGCCACCCCTCAAGTATCTTATTTTGGCCCCTAGGAGTTGGCTCCTATGTCACTGTGGGAAATAAAAGTGGTGACGGATTCTCCTTCCTTGGGAGGTTTTTATGCAGAAGTTGGGTGGCCGCCTGTCATGTATGAACTACTGTATTTTTCGCCCTATAGGACACACTTTTTCCCCTCCAAAAATGAAGGGGAAATGTGTGTGCGTCCTATGGGGCGAATGCAGGCTTCGCTGAAGCCTGGAGAGCGAGAGGGTCGGTGCGCACCGGCCCCTCTGCTCCAGGCTTCAGGAAGCTATCCGCAAGTCTTGCAAGCCCGGCGGGATGTCCCGCGGGCTCGCAAGGCTTGCAGGCAGCAGCCTGCAGCCCAAAAGCTCGGGGGACAGCGGGGAGGCGCAGTGCCGCCACCCCGCTATTCCCCGACCTGATCTGGAGGCTGGCGGGGGGGGGGCTCCGTCTCCCTCTTCTAGCTTGGGGATGGCTGCGCAAACCTGGGGGGGAAATAAAAATTTTTTCCTTGATTTCCCCCCCCAAAAACTAGGTGCGTCCTATGGGCCGGTGCATCCTATAGGGCGAAAAATACAGTAATTTGAGATTCCGGCATTGCAGAGGGTTGGACTAATGACCCTTGGGGATCCCTTTCCAACTGATTCTATGACCAGAACGAGCCATCCAATATCCAATGCTGCTCAGTGAACCAGACCAGATTTTTATTTTACCAAGTGTTTGGGGTGTGGGTTTTTTTTGAGGGGGTTGGCAAAGTTGGCATCTCTATTGGGCTTCGCCAACTGCAGGCCGTGGCCCTGGCCGCTTATTCTCTGCCAGCAGCCGAATAAGCCTCTCTCTCTCTTTTTTTTTCCTTTTTGGGCAGGCTAGCCGCTTATGCTCGCTTGCCTTCAAAGCTCGTCCATATGTAGCTGCGGCCACATTAACACCACACCCGCTTTCCTCCCTCTCTCCCTCAGGGATATTAACGTGGCTATTCGGGAGTAAGCCCCAGCGGCTGCAATGGGACTTTGCCGGCCCCGGCAATGGGCCGCCAGAGCCGCCGCCTGAGGGAGGCGACCGAGGAAGAGGCGGCGCGCGGCTTCCCCTGAGGAGAAAAGCGCGGGAACTTGGGCCAGCAGGGCCGCTGGCGAGGCCAATGAGGGCGCCTGGCCCAGAGGAGCCTTGTGAGGGGGGCCGTTGGCTTCTTCCCGCGCGCCCCCCCTTAACTTCGCACTTGCAATTTTATTTTTTTAATCGCCCCCCCCAAAGAAATCATCCCCTCACTGCCTACCGGGGAACCGTATTCACTTCAAAACGGGGCAGCCACGCCAAGAGGAGAGGGAGGCGCTTTGCACACCTGTGAGGGGGGTGAGTATGTGGGGTGGGGGGAGAAGCCCCGTCGCAGCCCCGCTGGTGTCCCGTCCCCCCCCTCACAAAAAAAGAGGGTCCTTCCACGCCAGCCCTTTTTACACGCGAGTAAACACGCCCAGTTTCAGGCCTGTTCGGACGCATATTTTGCACGCGCGCTCGGGCTCGGGGCCTTTTTTTCACTCTCTCCTGCTCGGCGCAGCGAGACTCACCGCCGCCCCCGCTGCTGCTGCTGCTGCCTCCGCGCGCAGCAGTTCAAAGCTCCGGTGGGGCGGCCTCTTCGCAAAGGAGCTCCGGGAGGGAGCAGCGAGTGGCAGCCGCGGCGGCCAATGAAGGCTCGGCCGGGTGGTTTTTCCGCGGTTGTTCTCCCCCCGCCCAGGCCTGTAAGCATCCAATCCTTAAACGCAGGAGGCGGGATTTCTTCGCCGCGGCCTTTAACCCTTCATAGCCCGCGATCCGGGCAGAAAGCAGAGGCTACGGGGCTTGCGCAGATGAGAAGTAGAACCTCCAGGTTCAGTGGCAGTCAGTGTGTCACTGAATGTGAGCTGCGGGCAACTGAGAAGCGAAGGGGGCGGATACAGCAGGGGAAGGCTGTTCTTCAGGTCTTGTTTGAAGACTCTAGGGAGTGTTGGGTCTTCCTTGGAAACAGGATGCTGAAATTGGGCTGGTTCAAAAGGGCGAGGATAATCAGCAGTGACTCTTCCCTCCTTCTTTGACCCTTCTCCCCCCCCATGCATTCTGGGATTGTAATAATAATAATAATAATAATAATAATATATTATTTACACCCCGCCCATCTGGCTGGGTTTCCCCAGCCACTCTGGGCGGCTTCCAACAAAACACTAAAATACAATAACCTATTAAACATTAAAAGCTTCCCTAAACAGGGCTGCCTTTAGATGTCTTCTAAAAGTTTGGTAGTTATTTTTCTCTTTGACATCTGGTGGGAGGGCGTTCCACAGGGTGGGTGCCACTACCAAGAAGGTTATTGTTTTTCTTAATCATTTTATTAACATATCTACATTCAGCCCGAAGGGTTAGAATGTCTGGAGAGATTTCAAATCCTCACGAGCATGAAGCTCTCTGGGAATTAGGGGGTGGGGTGGGGTGTCAATTTAGTTCACCTTTGAAGGCAAATCAGTTTTTCCAAAACCATAGGAGAACAGAAACTTAAGCCATCCTTTAAAATTCACTTCTCCAAATTTTACAGTACAGTTTTCCTACCAAGTAATATTTACAAAAACGCATATACTGGAGTAAAGTGTGCACATAGTTCTGAAAATAAGATACAAACATGCATGCCATTACAGGGAATTGCTCCGTTAAAATATGTAGATTAGGCAAGGTTGCATACAAACATGTATCTTAGGAGAAATTTACAGTTAACTGCTGGTAAATTTGCAAGGGGGTTTTTGTAATAAAAAATGCAAACTGATGTGGAGAACAGAACTTAAGATGCAAAAAATGAGAAACTGAGAGAACCTTAAAATCGACAGATTCTATTATCCCTGCTTTGGGCTAATTATTCACTTTCCGCCTGACCTACCTCACAGAGTTGTGGAGACGATAAAAGAGGAAGCAGAGATCATATATATATCACTCTGAGCTCCAGCTGGAACTGCTGTTGTCTTCTACCCCGTTCACATAGCACCCCCCTACTCCTTGTACTTTACCTTCTGAGGTCCATCAGCCTGATCCTTAATGAGTTTTTCCCCCACTGGTGAGTAGTTTTAGGACTGTGTCTGATATCTCAGACAACTAATAAAGCTAACATCCAAAAATAAAATGTGTAACTGGTTGTGTTGTTTTGGAATAATTTTGTAAAAATTCTGCGTCAAGTAGATTTGATTGCTTTTCAGACTATGGGTGCATCACAGCTTTGGACAAATATAAAATTATATTTATATGGTTAACTGACAAAATTTGGAAGTAATGTTGTATCCCGAACAGTGGCAAGCTTGACTCTGGATCAGTGTTTGGGAGGGATAGGTCCCAGATTAATCATGGTTTGTGCTGCTGACTACTTTTTCCTGCGGCGAGTAGCTGGATTTGTTCTTCTTGTCACATTTGGTCCTTAATTACCTAAAGGATGCTGCTGAGCCAATGTAGGTGCTGATTCAGCTAGCTGCTGTTTGCAGAAGCTCAGGAATACCCGTTCCTTGCAGCACAGAGGCTCTCTGCCAACTTCAAAGGGCTCCCCTTCTCCAAACAGTTTGGGAGGCCCATAGAGAAATACTGACGTGTTCCCAGGGCTCCATCTTTTAATAAGAGATGCACAAGGACTATAGAAATTCAGAGGTTATGAACTCCAGCAAAACACGCTAGCCAATTTGTACTGACTGAAATTAAATGAATTGGAACTGGCAGCTTTCCTGACATGTCCCTTTTACAATTAAAGGTATGCATTTGTTTCAACACACACTTGTTCAAAGAGGCAAAGCCTTCCATCAGAGTCAGATGGAGTTCAGGACATGCCTCCTCTCACAAGAAATATATACCGTCTTACATGGCAAAGCTTTCTGGCGAATTAGCATGCATAAGTAACTTCACGAATGATTTTCCACAAAAAAGACTCTGTAATTAATATTGCATTGCTATACAAGGCCTGCTTGTTTTGTGAGGCTACTTCTTAATACATTTGTGTTTAAAAGTCAATATTGAAAAGCTGCATCTAACGGTAAACATTCTCATATAAACCAGGGTCCTTTCGTATACTGTGGTATTATTGCAGCCTTGTATAAGTACAAAGTAGGGGACGCGGGTGGTGCTGTGGGTTAAACCACAGAGCCTAGGACTTGCCGATCAGAAGGTCGGCGGTTCGAATCCCCGCGACGGGGTGAGCTCCCATTGCTCAGTCCCTGCTCCTGCCAACCTAGCAGTTCGAAAGCACGTCAAAGTGCAAGTAGATAAATAGGTACCGCTCCAGCGGGAAGGTAAACGGCATTTCCGTGTGCTGCTCTGGTTCGCCAGAAGTGGCTTAGCCATGCTGGCCACATGACCCGGAAGCTGTACTCCAGCTCCCTCGGCCAATAAAGCGAGATGAGCGCCGCAACCCCAGAGTCGGTCACGACTGGACCTAATGGTCAGGGTTCCCTTTACCTATAAGTACAAAGTAAGCATAATAGGGTGGGGGCAAGTTGATGCTGCAAGTTCCTGGGGGCCTTTTGGCGCAGGTATGGGGTACCTGGGACCCTCCAGTTGTTGGGACTCCAACTTCCATCAACCCAGCGTGGCCTATAATCAGAGATCATGGAAATTATAATCCACAGGTTGCCCATTCCTGGTTTTGAGGCTGTGATGAACCTCTCCTCTGTGTTTCTGGGTATGGGGCAAACAGCCACTGTATAGCTGGAAGCTTTTACCACTGCTTTTATCAAGGCAGCCGTTAGCTAAACAAAAATGGCAAGGAAATAAAAAAAAGTGCGAAGATGAATCCCAAAGGTCTCCCTCCCTAAGCAAATTCTGGAACACCAGGTGCAACATCCTGCATTTTAGGAGATTTTAAAAACATTTCCAAATGAAAAGTATGTATGCAAAAGAGAGAGAGAGAGGCCTACCTGATATTTATCTTGGATTCCGTACTATAAAAACTTGCCAGTAGCAAATTCCAAACACCAAAACCACAGTTTCTTATACGCTCTCATGTGGTCCCCATCTCTCTCTCGCACACACACGTACGCTATGGAAAAACATTCAAAAAGCCAGCATCAACATTATAAAAAGAACCCCCAAAGCAGATTAGCACCTCCCTTATAGGTACGAACACTAGGCTCTTATTCTAACCATCCATTTATTTATAGCCAAGTGGCCCAGCCTCAAATGGCCTTCAGAGCTGTACCCCTGCCTGGCACTAGTTTCAAACCTTTAATGGTTAGGGATGGTTTACAGTGCATTGACTCTGAATAAGGCTTCCCTTCTGTTTTAAAGATGTTGAATCAGTAAGTTGCTGTGTTTTACTGCAGCAATCAGTTGCAAATGTCCAGGTTGGGCTGAACTTTCATCAAGGGACAGAGTATTCAGGGCACAAAAGGTGGCAGTTGGGAGAGTATGCCACTGGGGGTGCCTTTATTTTTTGGAGGGGTTCAAGCACATACTGTACTGAAAAGGTATGTTTGCATGGCTAAAGTAGATCATTCAACAAATCCACTTTAAAAAACAACAACAATGGACTTTTTGCATTTAGGAAACTGATGCAGGAAATGCACTGAAAAGTGTGGGCTGAGTTTTTGGTTAAGGGAGGGGGGGACTTTTCGGCAGAATAATTGTGAGCGGTGATACCAGGGCCCAAGAATAATTTAGTACAGTGGTACCTCGAGTTAAGAACTTAATTCGTTCTGGAGGTCCGTTCTTAACCTGAAGCTGTTCTTAACCTGAAGCACCACTTTAGCTAACGGGGCCTCCCGCTGCCGCTGTGCCACCGCTGCACGATTTCTGTTCTCATCCTGAAGCAAAGTTCTTAACCCGAGGTACTATTTCTGGAGAGCTTAATGTGAAGTCTGTAACCATAGAAGCATCCAAAAATGTAATGCTGTAAGCGTCTGTAACTCGAGCCACTCACACAGTACTGCCTATTCCTAATTGGCCAAGGCTCTCTCAGGGGAAAAGGCTCCATTTGTTATATGGTCCACGCACAGCTTCTTATAAGGAAACCCTGTGTGCCCCTCAGGCACAGTGCAGTGGCCAGATAGTGCCTCAGACACCAGGCTTCCCATCTGCTCAGGCCATTGCCAGAGATAACGCAGGAGGGAAGAACCAGAGAAGGCCATTTGTTTGTTTTCCCTGCCATGGAAAAGCTTGCAGCTCCTGCTGCTTTGTGTGAAAGCCACTGCTGCCTAGAGCAGGAACGCGCAACTGGTGTTCCCCCAGTTGCTGTCCATAGTCCAGTCCCCATCTGCCCCAGCCAAGATCACCAGAGCCAAGGGAAGATAGGAGAAGCAGTTCAGCAATATTTGGTGGACCACAGGCCACCAATCCCTGGCCCATTGCAACCAGGGCAGTCAGAGCACCAAGGGTCCCTTAGCTGCTAGGGCCTGTACTGATTGGCTGACCAAGTGGTCCTACCGAAACATTAAATTACTTGATCAACAAATCACTGAGCTGAATGCTCAGGCACGAAGCTTGCAACGTGATC